TTTTTATATACTATATGACTAGACAGAATGCCAATAGGCATGTATTCATAGTTGATGAGGCAACACAACAGTAAAGAAAACAAGCAATTCAAGCCTCTTGTTGAGAATGATCTTGTGATAGAAAGTCATAGAATCATAGAATGGCTTGGCTTGGATGATCTAGTTTGAGCCCCCCATGAGTTGCCACCTACTAGATCAGAGAAAGTATAATTTTGTACCTAAGAAGTTCAAGAACAGAAAAGATCACTGTGCTTTAAATACCCTCAAGGAGTAAAGGACAAGTGATACTTTCATACTAACTTAGCCAGTTGTGAAGTCTAGGTTATGGTGAACCACATCTGCCCTCCTCAACATTGCTCTGCTGGTAGAAAGCAGTATGCACATCTGAAATGTCCAACTAAGACTATGTAGTTATAAAACTGCTCTGCTTCCATTTCTTCTCCTTATAAGTTAATGGACTTGTAACCACTGTTACTTTTTGCCACAGGAAAAATCGCAGCAGAAATAGAAAAACCAGAATTTATGGCTATAATCTGCTATAGGGCATAGTATTTTCCCAGCTTCCATGATACAGATTTCATTTGAAGCAAGAAGAACAGAGATTCTTGAGTATCAGAATGGTATATTCACAAATATCATATTATGAATAAATGGTGAAGTAGACCTCAGTGTATGTGCTCTATTAATGCATTTATATGAGTACCAAGGAGTTCTGAAACACAGAACCACTTTGTCAGCAGTGGAAGACAAATACTTCATTTCCCCCTCCCACAAATCACTGCAGTTTTTGTTTGTTGTATTTTGTTTCCTCTTCCATCACCAGGTTGAAGGTGAGGTTTGTTGACACTTCAGTGTATGGAGCAGAGAAGACAACTGCAGTGCAAAATGTCAGGTTGCAGTTTCATTTCCCTGTCTTATTTTTCTCTTTCAGAAAACTCTGCAAACATCACCACACCTCCTGTAAAAAGTAAGTTCTGATTTCTTACTTCCTCTTTAAGAGAAACAAAACAACCAGTACTGCTATGAGTTTCAGTCTTAAAGTTAGACCCCTAAAATGATCATCTTCCTAATGATGCCATGTGCATAAGCCATAACAACATTCATTTCTAGACTTGTCCATTACATCTAAATCAATGAAAAGGTTTTTAATTGTTTTTGTCTACTGTGCAAATACTACAGAAAAAGAAGAGGAAGAAAGACCTTAATCTTAGAATGCATTGGAAGTTTATAGCTATGCTTTAATTCTGACCCTTTGTTTGTTTCTGTCAGCCTTGTGCTATATACCATTCCTCTGCAACACTTTTCCACACAGTTTTCATTCCAGTATCTTCATATTTGCTAATATGTCTGTGGAGATGGTTATCTCATGACCTGCTGTACCAAGCTAAAGAGTGTTTTAATTACATTAAGAAGCCAGTTGCATCAAAAAGAATAAATGCTAAAATCTCAAGTCAAATATTAACTTGTGTTAATGCATGTTAATGCAGTTTTAGATACCTCTACTAAGTCAAAAGAACATGGAAAAAACAAGACATGGCACATTATTTATGCTTCAGTACCCGTGGGTCTATGTTGTCCATTCATCTTCATATGCGTGTTTTGGAGTCTAAGGAGGTACTATGGTGAGCAGTTTTAACATATAATATTTTCTTACTTTGTATTTGATTTCATAGCGTAAAGTTTCACTCAAGGCTTAATGAAAATCTGCTAGTAATTATCCCAATTAATTGTTCTTGTCAAGTGTGCTAATTAAAATAATGAATCTTCAAAAAGTTCGATTTATTCCATGTTTAGTTTCCTTCCAGAGAGACAAGTGTGAAAGTAAAGAGCAAATAAAATATACAGATTTTATAATAGTTGAATTATTTTTTTTAACAATCTAGTTACAAATGAGTAAGGCTGTTATCCACATCAGTACTGTTAAATTCTATTCAGTTGCGTTTTATATTCCCACTTTTCCCTCTGAGCTATCAAATAGTTACAATATTAATCTCTCCTGTTTTACAGGAACTCTTACACAGGTGCCATGCTCTAAGTCAAGAGGGCATCCTGGAGTCCCCCACATCTTATTAAGTGAAGCAATCAATTATTTGTTGTTTCATGGGATGGCTTAAGGATTTTTCCATACCTTTTCTTGCCATTTCACTGCATAGAAAGACAACTAGCCACAGGTACAGCAGGAATTTATCTGCTCCTATTCAGAGAAGCTCTGAGGAACACAGAAACACATTCTATAAGAACATCATTTTATGCTGATTATCTTTTGGCAGTAAAACAATTCCCAAATATAGTGTGGAGATAGATTTTTATTCTTTGAGGGGCACTCAATAAGGCAAGGGCTGCTTTGGTAATCTATACTCCTCTGTGAGCAGAAAGGCATCTTCTCAATGCTGATTGATTTAAACATCTTTTTTAATTACTTTTTTCTTCCTAGGAAAGCATAAGAGAACTCCAACAACACCACAGAGACAAGAGAGTCGGGTATGCTTAAATTCTGCTACCACTGAAACCTGATAATGTCCAGTATAACCACATACTGAAAATAAATTTTTAGATAGTGTAAAATGTGGAGTAGGATTGGAGACAGATTTACTTGTGGTGCCTGGAAAGAATGGCTTTCCTGGCATGAGATATCACCTTGTCTGAGCTGAAGGGAAAGAACTCAGTGTTTTTGCCACAAATGTACTTTAAGCACCTAAACTCCTTCTAAAGTGCATTAATTTGTAAAAACATTCCAGTAGGAGTTTAGGCATCTAAAGCACCTCTTTTGACCTGGTTCTGACTGCACAAGACAAAAAGTCATCCGCAGGGTCAGGAAATGATTGAGAAGAAGGGCTTTGCTATGCAGCTAGCATGAATTCAGACAATTCTTGCAATAGGTACCAAAGAAATTAGATGAGCAGAAGGCAGAACACAAAAGATGCAACAGGAGCTGGCAGCAGTCACTCAAAAGAAAGGCTGTGATAGGGATCAAAGGGCACAAAATGGACTGCAGCGCTCCCGAAAAACAAAGTGGGGGAAAGAAAACTGAAAGTAGTATGTTCTAAGTGGCTGGAAAAAATGGATGCCAAAAGGGGATTTCTTTAGAGAGAGATGGATTTATGGAGAAACTTGCAGAGTTGGGAGAAGAAGAGAGATTTATTTGGAGAATAATTTAAAGAAAAGAAAAAAAAGGTAATCGGTCAGTGATCTGGAAATAGGAGAATAAGGGCAATCAGAAAGATACTGGAATGGCCTGCCAAGGGAGGTGGTGGAGTTGCCATCTCTGGCAGTGTGCAAGAGGCGTCTGGACGAGGAGCTGCGAGATCTGGTTTAGTAGCTTGTGGTAGCAGTGGTAGTGTGAAGACGGTTGGACTAGATGATATTATAGGTCGTTACCAACCTTGTGATTCTATGATCCTATGATACTTTGGGGTTTGGAGGTGAAAATGAGGATTTAATAGGCTCAGAAAGAAGAGCCTGAATGAGTGGCATAAAAGAGCTTTCAAGAGGATAAATCAGTTTTGCCTTATGTTGAAATCATGCAAGGAAAGACATGACTGAGTTTGGGAAGGGAAGTGGAGGAAGACTGGAGACATGAGTATGATTTCTAGCTATTTCAAAGATCAAAAGAAAATCAGTGATCAGTTAAGTCCAATATACCCATCTTTAAAAGCAGTTTTAAAGGAATGCAGCAAGACCAGCAGAATCTTACCCACTTCTTATCTAGCGGGAGCCAGACATGCACAGAGCTGTACCCTGTCCTGTCTGTTGCAGGTCAGAAGTCCATCAGCTCTTCCATCCCACGCTGCTGGGACAACTCCAGAAACAGATGAAAGCTCCTCACTTTACTGCTCCATGTCTAGCCCACCTCAGCTCTTGCCTGTCAACAAGATTTATGACAGTGTTCCTCACTGTAATGCTCAGGAGACAGCATCTAACTCACCTTGTAATGATCCTTCCACCCCAGCTTCACTTGAAAGCCAAGATGTCCTCATATATGCCTCACTAAAACATTCTGCTTCTACAAATAAATACCAGAGAAGGAAACTCTCTATAGAAGATGAATTTATAGAATATGCCTCTATTAAGGTAAATAAATAAATAAATATGGCAGACTTCACCAAACAGCCATTTTGTGTGCAGTCTTAGGTTTATCTTCCCTCCAGAATACCTTTCCTTTCTCTCCCGGGAAAACTTTCCTTTTGTTTAGAAGAACCTCCCCCACTATGGACAGGAATTCAAAACACAGCCTGTGTCATGCAGATGGTAGGTAATTGCACAGGGTATTTGTGTATTAAATGGAGGAATAAAAGGAAACACAGCCAGTTTTCCCGTTCTTCCTTTGCTCAGGATTCTGCTTCCAGCCTGACCTTTTGTTGTGGTTTGAACAGAGGCAAAGGGGAGGAGAAGGGAGGGCTTTCTCAGGTCATAAATCTGTAAAAGGAATCCATGAGGAAGATGATACTGAGCCAAATTAATTCCTCCAAAGTAAATACTAAAAATACGCGGGGGAGAAATTTTCTCTGAGGTTCTAAGAACACCCTTACCAAGATCCTGCTTTTCACTCCAGTTTATCTCCTTGCAGAGTTCCTTGAACATCATGAACACATAGTCCTCTTATTAACTGAAATCATGTAAATACTTTTGCTTGTTTGCTTCTTCTGGGGAACAGGCAATAAGATCGAAAATAAATGGTTGTTGTCCTTTTATTAAGAAGTCATACAAATAATGTGCAAAAATACATAGAGTGTTCTCTTTTTTCCCGTTGGTGTGAAAACTGGTTAGCTAAGTTAATGCATACTGCTTTTGTCCATGATGAGTCTATGGAAATAACAAATGCTGAGTAGTGACTGGCCATAGTCAAAATAAAAACATTCTGTTCATGAGTAGCTGTGCACAATTGCGCCAGGCCAAGCTTTCCTCCCATCACTGGCACAAGAATCACACATCACAGAATCACAGAATGGCCAGGGTTGGAAGGGACCTCAAGGATCATGAAATTCGAACCCCCCTGCCACATGCAGGGCCACCAACCTCCTCATTTAATGCCAGACCAGGCTGCCCAGGGCTCCATCCTATCTGGCCTTGAACACTTACGCTTCAAGCTCAGGTTTGTGGGAAAGAAGATAAAAAGGAGGTGAGGACCAAAGTGTCATTTGAATTTAGAGGAGAATGCTCATGCCCTTCTTTTGCAGCAGTCATTTCATTATAGTTTGGATATCATGCATCTATTCCTGCAGCTCAATACTCTGAAAAATTACATTTAGCAATGTCTGCACCAAGAGGTTTGCAGAAGCAAACAGAGAGTCTTCAACATGGTTAAAAATTCAGACCACAATTGAAAAGGAAGAGAGGATCAGTTCTCAGTGTGCATATAACGCACCAGATGCTTTGCAGTTAATGGAAGGAAGTCAAGCTTCTTCATCTCTTACGCTGCCATAGTTCCAATTGACACCAAAGTTTTTATCAGATACACATTAACCCTGCTATGCTGATAACGTAGATCATTTGTTATGCTCGTGGCACACTTGTCTTCCACCCATCATGCACTCTGCTCCAGAATTATGCTCATGTGACTGAGAGTAAAGGAGGCCAAGCACAGCTGTGAGATGTACTGCACAGCCACCAGGTGCAACGCTAGAGAAATCTGAAATGCTGTGTTCCACTCTCAGATCAAGGCCAAACCATGGCTTAAGAAGAGGTCCCCAGAGATCAAGGTTTGGTTTGGAAGATGAGATTTTTGTAGATCAACAGGAAACACCCTGCCACCTCACCATCAGATGTGCCAGTATAGAAAAGCAAAGCACTGGAGCTTACTTTTTCTTTTTCTTTTTTTTTTTTTTAAATCAAAACCACTGAAAGTCTACGTCTTTTGAGGGAAGGAAACAAAAGGTGCTGACTGAAACTGCCATTTAAGGTGCAACATCTGCTACTTTAGGTACAAATAATCCAATCAGGTCAAGTGCAGCTACAGTTTTCATTCTCTTTTGAAAGAAATAGAAGAATTGATATTTCTCCCAGTGCAGTTAAACTGCTCAGTGGATAGAAGGTCTGTGTAGCTCGGCTAGTGGGCACAGTGGTAATGGGTTGACAGTTGGACAAGATGATCTCAGTGGTCTTTTCCAACCTTAATGATTCTATGATTCAGTATTTTCAAAAAAGAAACTTGCATGTTCATCCCAATCACCCAGTGCCCCTCTCAGTGATGTTACACATGAGGCATCACACCTAACAGCAGTTGTGTTAAGGCCCAGTGGATGGCCTTTGCACACTGCAGAAAACAAATAGCTGTGACTTGCTTTGTGGGGGATGTACAACACCTGTGCACCCTCTGTAAGACATGGTCTGATGACCTCCAGCTTTTACCAGGTGATTTGCTACTTCTTGATTCTCTTTTGCTATTTTTATACTGAATACGTTACATGGGTACAGTCAAACAAGAAGCCCAAAGAATACAAAGCTGGACAGCTGTCAGTTAGACCCACACACCCACAGGGAAGGAAGAGTGTGAAGTCTGTGGAGCTGAAGGTCTGTTAATGCACATTACTATGCTGCATCATGATTCAGAGGCTTTTCATTCTTTTTGTATGAGAGGCAGATGCAGCTGTGGTATCCAGTTCCTGCCTCCCAAAGTAACCTGCACAGCACAGAAGCCTCTTACAAGCCTTGATGGAAGGAGTGGGCTCTTAGGCCGTAAACACATAAACTCTCCTAGTTTCACTTTTTTTGTTTATACCCTCCACCTCTGAATCTTGCTTGCGTATGAAAGCAAAAATAAAGGTGATCATGTGAGGCTTACTTACTCATCTGTCAGCTCCTTGTCCTCCCTAAAGTCTGTTCAGATGGGACTGCTCTTGGTAAACCATACACTTTGCCATATTATCAGGTCAAACAACAGCTTGCCAAGCCCCACTTCTCTAATTATCTGTTTTTGCAATATTTTCACCCACATCACCACAAATATCCCAAGGCCCATTTTGCATTGTAAGGTGAGCAGGCAGCGAGGCGAGAGCAGAAAGAAGAGTTACAGCTATAGTTATGTGAAAACTGAAGTTTGCAATTCTGTGAAAAAGGCATCATCTTGCATCAGTTGGTTTCCCGCTGTTTCCCCCCTAAAATAGTGTGCAGGAGGTTGAAACTAGATGATAACTGTGGTCCTTTTCAACCTTTCAACCCAGGCCATTCTACGATTCTATGATTCTATAAATGGTAGGAGTCCGCCCAAAACCCAAAGAAATCTGGTGTACAGAGTGTTTGTTCCTTGGTTCTCCTGAGTCACTCCCCTTAGGGTCCACTGAGACTGCACTGCAGGCACCACTAAGGCAGCGTCCTCCAGAAGAAGAGGAGTTGCACAGACTGATGGCAATGTGTGATGTTTTGAGATACAGAACCAAGCTCCACACCACGACACTGCTGCCAGCTAGGACCTTCCCACCTTCCAGACATGTTCCCTGGGTCTCCCTCTATCCCACATCCTTGTAAGGAACAGGGAACACAGACCTAGAGCTGAGCCTTGGAACCAGCCCACACCACCAGCCCATGTGCACAAGAAGGTTGAGGGGAGAGGCAAGTATTCATTTCCATGCCCAGCCTGCTCTCCATCCTGCTCCTTGCAGCGGGTTCCCCATTCTGTGATCTCCGTAGCACATTTCAGATCAAAAATGCCATCCCAGAGATAACAGGAACCAGAGATAGGAAGAAGTGCTCAGATGGTGCCAGGGATGAGTCAGGAGGTGGTCTTGGAAAGCAGGAGAGACAGATCTGAATGGGTATACAGAAAGGGTTCCCAAGGAGGACCACGAGAGCCTAGAGGAAAGAAGAGCTGGCTACAGAGACTGATATGGAACCAGTGTCATGCCCCTCTGTACAGACAGTGATTTGCAAGGTGAAGAACTACCATTTTCAGTGAAAAAAAAAAAAAAAAAAGCCTAAAGAAAAAGAAAATGCTTAGGAACCAGGTGAACCAAGCCCTCAGGCTGAATATTTCCAACTGCAAGGGTCAGTTGGTAGCGGCATGTCATCATACATATCTTTTCAGTTTCACATAGGTGATCTTCCCATGCCCTTTTTACATTCCTAATAACAGCAACTCACTACCTAGCCTGAACCCTAATTTCAAATTCTTATTCCCCTTCCCATAAGTATGCACATCTCCAGGAATCTCCATGCTATAATGGCATGGAGCTGTGTCGGGAGAAGGTCAGGTGGGAGTTAGGGACAAGTTCTTCACCAGAGGGTGGTGGGGCCCTGGAACAGGCTGCCCAGTGGGAATGGCTCTGAGGTGCCACCATTCTGGACATCATTCTCAGACACTGGGTTTGGATTTTGGATGGTCACACGTGGAGTCAGGAGTTGGACTCAGTGATCCTTCTGGGTTCCTTCCAGCTCAAGATATTCTCCGAATCTATGATTGTATAGTTATTGTAGTAGAATTAAATAAATGGGGAAAAAAATCAATACTGGAAACACTATTAAGAGACTTAGCTTCTAAATATTATGAATCTTGGTCTGTGAAACAAAGGTCTTCATATTATAACAAACTTGCATAGTTAATTATACATGTTTTGTGTGATTGATTTTAGTCTTCCTATTGAGAGGAGATTTACTTGGTAACCTAAAATTCGGAGCACAAAATATGTTGGGCATGAAATGTCATCAGCCTCACCTGGGAGTGATCATTGTGTGCCAGTTTTGTGCCAGAGTAACATTTCTGCCTTAAGTTAGTGATGTGGCAAGTAGGTTTACATCCAAGTGGCTTTTACTCACAGGTAACCCAGATTTTCTTTGCAGATAAGAGCTTCTTATTAATAACCATCCTTTACTTCTTTCTATCTGAAATTGTGGCTTATAATATCTTCTGTGGACTACTGCCTCTCCCAGTTGGCGTAGTATCCACAGGAAAGCACATCTACTGCATGCATAACATTTCTGCAAGCAGCCAGATGAACTAACGTATCTAATGACGGAAGGATGGAACTGTGACATGTTTCATCAGGTCTCAGCACCATTCACTACAGCATAGCCAGAATCTGTGGAGCTACTTCATCTGACACCTGCCTGTGAGTAAGTCTTACAGTTAGCTGTTCCTCAGAGCTTAGGATAATCATAAAACCACTGCTCAGAGGCTTAACAGATCACATTTGTTTTCTTTCTTCTAACCTGTACTAGAACAATTTCAGTCTTGAAATTGGTTTAAAAATATATATAAAAAATCATTTAAAAATGCTAGGCTTGTTGACTTTCAGCGTGCACTGAGAAACTCAACGCACCTACTTTTTGGCATTTCTGGATTACAGGAAGGATGGTGAAGCAGAGGTTACACCTGCTAAATCACTCTCTTCCTTTTTAAAGCTGTTTATTACTAGGAAATCTCCCACTTAATCTTCATATTGGGGATCTAGCACCATTTTTCTGCATTTTCACAAATTCTGCAGAAAGGCCTAAAACCTTACGGAAATATCATTTCCTTTACACTTAATAACATGAGATAAAATTTAAAAATAGCTTTTAGTTTTCTTTGTTCATGACTTAGTTACTGACTGCCGCGGTTTTCTGGAAGAAGTGGTAACTTTAGTAGATCCTCTGTTTTCTGAAGAAATTCATGAAGCCTCTGTCACAGTAGGAGAGCAAGAGGAACACTCAACTAATGAAGACTGTGGTTACAGTAACACTGTCAGCACCCCAGCTGGCAACGTCACAGTTGCCTAAAATGGTTGGTTATCATGCTCAGAGGCTGAAAAACCCAGTGATCCACAAGCTTCCTTTTCTCTGTAGTCTGGCAGCAGACTCTACTAAAACACTGGTCTCACACTGTAAGTATGTGACGGGAAGTAATGTGTGCTTTGATTTTAGACACCCACTTTTCTCGATGAAACAAAGGTTGAACAGAAACAGCATTTGGTGCCTGTGCAATGCTTTCATCTTCCAGTTTGGTTTCTCTTCTCTCTTGGAAAGACTTCAGAGCTGTAAGCCTGTGAAACAGAAACAAACGACAAAACAGTCAAGAAAAACTGCGAAAGTACTCTGGCTGACCTCACATTAAGGAAGAGGGTGCCAGGAAGCAAACTCAGAAGTGAACAAAAGTAGAGGAAAAATTCTTCCTTGAAATCCTGTGGAACTCATGTTTCTTTGCAATAGTTGCCTAGTGATTAAACCCTTGCTGAAGCGCAGAGTTTCACATAGATATGCAAGCTGATAAATGCACAGGGAGAGATTTGAACTGTGTCAGACAGAGGTGCAAGTCTTCCTTTTCTGCTCTTCTGATAAGCTTTGCAGCATCTGTTTGTAAGAGAATACTCGGTATCAGAATTAACACAGATGCATCTTTCACCAGCACAGAAAGCCCTGGGAACTTTTTCCCTAGTAAAAAAGAGAAGAAACATAGCTCATTCTTGAAGTAACATTTGTAACATGTAGCCTGACATGTACAAAATGCACTCATTTCATATATAGGAAATATGAACATTAACTGCTTGGAAATTAGGCAATATCTGGCTATCAATTCCAATAATGAAACAAAACTGCCTTCCTGAAAGCCATATGCACACATTCTTGGCTCTTACACTAAACATGATACATCTATTCTTGAGAATGTCACTGAGGCCTATGCTTAGGATCTCACATCTCAGTGGCAAAGGACCCTCTGGTCAGCACTTCAGCTGGAGTCAGAAGCACACGAGGATGCTCAGGGCTGGGTGCTTTTTAACACTCCATCTTTACATCTCCAGCTGTAAAATTAAGGAAATCACTTATTTTATAGAGTAAAAGAAAATAGTAAAAAATGTAGGAAAGAAGACATGACCCAATAATGAAGACACTGCAAGCAATGCTTTCTCTAACTTACTTTCAAGACCTTTGGTGATGGACATTCCTTTGTCACTCAAGCTCATCTATTCAGCATCTTATCATGACAACAGAGATTTTTCCTGTCATTTATCCAAGAACTTAAAGCCATTACTTCTTACTGTATTTCAAGCTGGCGCAGAGAATATTTACTGCTATCTTCTCTACAGGTGTGCATTTGAAGACATTACATCTCACTCTAGACTAAATAACTCCAGATCTTTCAGCCTGTCCTCAGACCCACCAACAATCTTGATTCTGTTCTCTGCGCTCTCAGATTGTTTGACTATGCTCTTCAGGCACATTACCTAAAAACCCAAAGTTGCTACCTTGTAAGACCCTATTTCTCTGGGTCTGCAAACGTCTCTCAAATAATTCCTTATTTATTTTATCCATGCTGGATAAAAGACTGTGAATTCAAAGATTTGAAACAGCATTCTTGATCCAGAAAGCAGGTATTACGCTAGCAAGCTTTGACTATAGTATATAAGATCAATTTTAAAGCCATAACATCAGTGGAGGTATGGGTTGTGAAAATCCTTTATGCAGAGAAAAGCCAATTTTCAAAGAATATGCATTTATTTTGGCAGGACTTGTGACAGTCCTGAGCTGCTATTGGCAAGAGGTCCTTGTTCTGGCCATAACAGGCCACGTCCTCTCCACTTCCTGGCAGGTGAAGTAAACACTGTGCCTTGAACACCTGCATGCTAACTCCTCCCAGACAGATGTCCTGTCCCCAGGGAGGTGCCAGATGCTGCCTTGAAGTGAGCAGGGGGAACCACCTGCCTTTCCATACTTCTGCTGCTAGATGTGCTGATTTTGCTGGGAGTGGAGGGCAGGGAGAGCAGAAGACAATACAAATTAACAAGACACATCAAACTCCTGTTTTTGCTTTATTTCATTACCATGAAGGGTAAGGTGGAAAGTACCTGGCTTGTAAAGAACACAATTGTCTTTCATTTTCTGCATGGGTGGAAATTTTGGATGAGTATGTCTAAGCACTTTATTTCCTCTGGGAACCATTCTTACAGCATTAAAAACCCTGATAATCTGAAATGGCTTGCAAAAACAACACCCTGGAGACTGAAACTGGGCTGGATTGCTTTCTGTATATAGTGAATAGGCAGCACTGAGTGTCAGTGGCTGAATGCAGATGAAAGTCCTTCCAGAAAAACAAAAAATAATACTTGAAACCCATTCAGCGTACTGCAAGTGTAGACAAAGAACAACTTATTCAGTTCCAGTGAATGGGTAAATAGGAGACCAAAGTGTTAGGCCAACCTGCTCACCTGCATTTGTGAGCCAGTTTTTCTTCTGTAATATGCAACAGCACCCAAGTTCACCATCCTAGACTAATAGTTATCCCCAAATAGTTACACGAGGGCACAGCCTCACTAAAAAGGGCAGGAGCGCTTGGGGTCGCTTGGCTAGGAGGGGGCAGAGCGCTTGCAGTGCTTCACCCATTTTCCCCCCAGAGTACACAGCATCCTGCCTCTCTTCTGACCATCTTTTCTAATGCCACAAACTGCTGGGTAGAAGACTGGCAGAAGACTAGCCACTAGGTGGCAGGAAGCGGCAGGGATTGAGCACCAGCTGCGTCCAGCTGGATCCCCATCTCTCCCAGCCTCGTGCCCGCTTGCCAGCCATCATCTGTCTTCCTAAATTCAATGGCTGCAACTCCCACCCAAGCACAGGAGCAACCCCTACTACACCAGCAACCCTCAAAATTAATTTCCACTTTCTCTCTCTCTCTTTCTTTCTTTTTTTTTTTTTTTTTGGTGGGGCTGTGGGTGGGAAAAATATTTTGGGTGTTTCTTTAGTCTGGCATTGAGTTCTCATACTGATCAAAAAAGTCATGACGCTTATCTTGAAGTGGCACTGAAATGTGGCATGGCAGCCATGCATGGACAGAGCCTGATCTTTTGGGGAAGAGTGGGTGCTTTTTTGCAGTTCTTTGGAAGACAGGATGACGTGCCACTACCAAAAGTGGCTTTCATTGATTAAGAACAAAACAGAACCCATGTTCCTTAAATTACATCCTCAGTTGCTCACTCATTCTTCTCCTTCAGGACTGTATGTCCAAAGAGAAAAGCCCAAAAAACTATTAAGTTTCTGGTCTAGAAAGTTTACTCAGAGCAGTTTTTAGTACTATATATTGGAGTATCATTTATATTTGGATTTTTGATACAGTAGAACACCAAATACAGACAGTGGTGACCAATCCATTTTACAGTATGGATTGAGTTTCAAATATTTTCTCAAAGTATATGTTCTTTAATTACTCTGCTGTTAGTGAAAGACCATGTCAACTAAAAATTCATATTCAAAACAGAAAAAGAGCAAAATTCTTCTTATCAGTATCCCTTTTAACTTCTGTCTTTCTTGACTCACAGAATTCCCACACAAGGAAGAAAAATTCCCCCCCTGTACCATCACTATCACTATCCCTGCTTGGGCCTGGCCACAGGAAGCCAAGTGAGCTGCACATCTTTTATTTTGGTGACTCGCTGGATGCCATAGGTCCCAACCCCTATCCTGTCCATGAGCTGCCTTCACTTCAAGAAATGCTTTCACTCAGCTGTCTCAAACTGGCTGCTAACAGAATAGACTTACTTTTGGTTTTCTTAGAAGGGAAAACTGAGTACAGTTCTGTCCAGGGTATTCCCTGCTCTCATTCAGATCCATCTCTGACAAATACAGGGCTTCAAAATGTGCTCACTTTTACTCATCTTCTTTCTCCTTAAAAAAGCAATGAATAATAATAATTAAAAACAAAAATCTATATCTGCCACACAGGATATAATTAAGCACTCCTCAAGAGAGCTTGTACCCTTCCTACTGCATACAGACCATTGCAGACACTTGAAGTGGAACACGACATAAGCTAATCAGTAAAAGGCTTCCTTAAGACTCACTAAAGAAAAATGAATCACATCCCAATTCACTTACTGTTAACTGGGCATCGGATGAATCACATCATAGAGAGTGCAATTTACTCCTTGAATGTGAAGACAACTTTCCCCCACACAGAACAGGAACTCAGTGATTTTGCTACGAGTTTCACCAGGGAGAATTTTACTTCCTTTGGTCTGCTGCTGTACGCTTATTTTCTACTGCTCACAAGCCTCCTTTCCAACTGCAGCTAAGTACATCTACTTGGATAAACCAAAGCAGGTCTAAGAAGGATATCTGCTCACCTGATCAATATGCTGGCTCTGAGTTTGATCCTTTGAGCCTAGATCCAGGACTGAAGATCCTCAATTCACATTAATTTGTGGACATCCTCCTACAACAGTGAATAAAAACTGAGAGTACAGTTACCATAAGCCATTGCACAAAGCATCTGTTTCAGCCTCTCAGACACAGAGGAGTGAAACTGCGCTGTGGTGTGGTGCCCAGGTGTTCAGAGGCAGCAGTGAGTACAATGGATGAGAGGAAGGAGCCAGGATGAAAAGTGGAGGAATCCCCTCTGTGATATAAAGCAGAGTCACCTTCTTCCCACTGAGCATGAAGGTAGCAGTAAAGGGAAACCAAAGATGTGTATGACTGCAAAGCTTCAGTCTAGCCCTCAGGCTTCAGTTCCGCTGTTTTCTGTAGCACGATCACAGATTTTCAGACAAACAGGGAAAAGGAGGATGTGTCTGACATAACAGTTTTCGTAGCAGATAAAAGTGAGTACAGAGGTTAGTGGTGGTGAGAAACTGGATCCCAGCTTTCTCTTCTGTCACGCAGAAAAACAGTTCAGTTACAGTTTGTCCCCAACATATTTCAGCATAAACTTTTCCTGAGACAAACTTCTGGTGGATAAACCAAAAGGAAGAAAATTAATGATAAAAGAGTATTTTTATGGTATTGTGTTCGTCCAAACAACGAGCTCCACGGTAGCGGAAGCAAGTGGAGCAGACATACCACACAGGCCATTGCAACTGCTATTAACCCCTTTCCATCATGGAAAAGGACAATTCCTTTATAATACGTGTGGGCAGGAAGGTTACATTCCCAGGCCTGATTTACTGTTAGAGCAGTCACTGAAAGAGAACCATGAGAAACACACAAGTATCAGTGTAAAGAGTAAAGGAAAACCATACCAAAACTTGAGCTATGACTTCTCGCCTTCCTTAGCCATAGACAGAGCTCCTGCCATAGCCATCAGAGCAACATCCACAAAGTCAAAAGATCACTTAACACAAGTCCTTCTTTTTTTTTTTTTTTACAAATTACAGAAATAAAGGTGAAGAAGGTGAAAAACAAGGAAGAAAGGAGATGAAGAGAAGAATATTTACTCAAGGTACACCAAGCAGATCAGTGCAAGCACAGGAAAGAGGGGCCAAGCCTTTGGTTTGTAGTGGGCATTTCAGATCAGCAGGAGAGCCGAGAAAGACTGCAGCATGAAATATCCCACCCTGAAGTTACTACTCTGATTCTCATAAAATGCGTTACTCAGAGGACAGCCACTGCAATGAAGTACAACTTTCCATAAGCAGAAAATATACTTTTGGCATTTAACTATCACTTTTCTTCTGAAGAACAGAAAAATAAATACACTTTATGACAGGGCCTCAGAGAACTGCAATTTGCCCAAATACAAAAGAGGAAGGCTTATAAATTTAAGCCTGGATATTTTAACAAGATGTCTAAAATTAATCTTCCTAACATTCTCATAATTCTTTTTTTATAAACAGACATCTTGCTAGCTACTCCTCCAGACGGAGGGCAGTATTGCCAGTTTATGTGCTCCTGATTAACAGCCACATGATTAGATTATCATTAATTTTTGGCTCTTTCTTTCTCTATTTTGTCATTCCAAAATAGACATGCCCTCTAATGGGTTAGTCTCTAACTTAAATGCAGAAAAAATTGGTTGCAAAATTGTATATCATCACAGGCAGTGTTTTAACAAGCTCCTGTTTTTTAATTAGGACTTGATTTCTTACTGGTTACTCCACCACTGCTTGAATGTCATTACTGCAGCAAATCTTCCATTATGGGAGCCATCAGATACCTTAGAGCAAATTGCATATGCAGAAAAGCTGCCATGACCACATGCAAGATTTGGGCTCTGCTGGCTGAGACCTGCTGCCCTCCAGGAAGCCAAGGCACCCGGGCTTGGCATGGCCACCTCCAGCAGCACCTCTGTGGATAATGGCAAGTAGAGCTCTCTGGAAGACTCAAGAACTCTCACTCAATTACACAACCCAGCACACAGCACTGGTGCAACTCTGGACTTTCTTCAGGTTTACTCAAGGGTCATGAAACCTACAGTGACTACCAGAGCTGAGCACAGTGGGAAGGGTATCAGAGCAGGGAACAGGTCATGGGATTACTGGGCCCTATGTCTGGACTTCCAAGACAAACAAATCCTGCTCAGAGTCTTCACTGCCCTATGAACTTCCCCAGAGAGGAATAATTAGGGTAAGGAGAAATAAACATCATTAGTGTCATCTGAGACTTTCCAGAACTTGCGAAGGTCTTCGGGATGGCAAGCAAGAACAACACAGCTTTTGAGTGCCAAAGAGAGGTTTTAACATTCATAGTTTCAAACAAACAAACAAACACCAGAACCCTTTTTTTTTTTTCTACCATTTCACCTACATTTTCCCTAAATAAATGCATATTTATTTCCAAGGTGCATGTGTGGCAGATGAAAGGGCTGCATTCAGGGCGTGATGTGCATAAAGCAATGCCCTGTAATCATCATAGCATCGGGGACAGTGTGTCACCTCACAGTAATTGCTGCATGGAAGTAGCATTTTTGTCCGAACAAACACAAAAGGCATATGCAGCCCTGTCTTGAAAATGTCATGCTCTGAAGTAATCCATAGGAGAAGGGATGCTTAGGTCAGAGGCATCTACCTACAACATTTAATGTGATCATCGTAAGTGATATTTTGACTTTTTTTTCATAGAAGGAAGATTTCTCCCAGAAAGTTGAAAGAAGAAAAAAATGTTTTCTGATGAAAAAGTTTTTGGTTTTTTTTTCCTCCAGTCAGACTTTAGGTCATTAAGTATAAAAATATTTCTGAAAGATTGTAGGAATTCATTTTGCCTCTATCTGAATAGATACTTTACTAATTCATTTGAAAAACTTACTTTTTAAACTCACATACTATTTTTTTCTTTTTTCCACGCCTATCAGCACTCAGATAGCCCATGAAGTCAGCTAGCTGTTATTTTAGGAGTGGTTGCCTTGGTTAAGGAACAAACAAGAACTTGAAGGAAAGGATAGGGCACATTGGGCTGTGTTTGGTGAGCAAGAAATACCATTTGTGCATCATAATAACAATTCTAACTTGCTCCATGGTTGTTCATGCTCCATTGAGAAAGAGAAGACAAAAGTAGGAAGCCCCCTCAATCTGATTGCATGTTACTCATTTCCTCAGGCCCTTCACAGTAGCACAGCAAACACCTATCTGTGTTTATCCTTGACAGGAAGTGGAGAGGAGGAGGTGGAAGGAGAGGAGGAACAGGGGACCGGAAGGCATGGGCTTTCAAAGCATTTGGAGCAGTGAAAATGACTGAAAGCCACAACCTGAACAAACAAAAGTAGGAGTGCTATCTACATCTAGACTTTGAATGAGGGAGAGTCTCATGAGGAAAAAAGTAGACTGAGACTTTGCTCATTCACATACCCAAGGAAGCCAGACATAGATAACATTTGTAACTGAGTCTATTATTTATTTCTTAATCTCTGTTTATATAAAGGTATAAAGCTGATCTTCCTATTATTCATCCTGTTATCTGGGCAGCCTCCTTCTCTTAGGACCTCCTTTCCGCTTTTTAATACCAAGGGCAGATGCCACTGGTGATGCCTCAGCCCTTTCCTTCCTCTATGCAATTAGTTCAAACCCTCAAGTGCAGGGGGACTTTACACACCCTTTTCCCATGCGTTGCTCACTGACCTCCCCCCTGCTAGGGCATTCCATGCTACCCGTTCCTATTAATCTCTCCAAGAAGTGAACCCAAATTGCTGCTAACCTATTCAGCGCAGACATCATCTTCATGGGACAAACACCCTCTTTCACACTGCCCGCTGCAAATAGCTTCCCCGCAGCACTCTCAGGGCAGCTGGCCTTCCCTTCAGCTCCCCAGACTGTATGTTGCGCCTCTGAATATTTCTGTGGTGCCACCAGACTAATTCTGATCTAAGCAAGACCCAGGAAACTAAGTAGCACCAAACATAAATGCAGTTACTGGCTACCTGGCACCTCAGTTTGGACATTTTGAACATGGCTTTCAGGAAGCCCCCACTCCAAAGTCATCTAACTACACTTCTATGAATACTAATTTCTATCTTTAAACCGTACAGAAGAGAGGATGTCTTGCTGACTTGAGTTCAGACTGGAAAATACCATCTATGTAGTGTAGGGTTTTGTTTTGTTGGTTTTTTTTTTTTTTGCTTAAAAGTGATGCTAAGTGACTAATTATTAGGAAGGGGGAACTAGAAGAGGTTTTGCTAAATATTAAGTGTATAAGAAATGAACACTTTTTCCTGGACAGTAATGTGTCAAAGAAAAGCTCATAAATGCTTACAGGACAGTTTAGAAAGTGCTGATGCATGAGTTTAATTTGGTTTTAATGAAGTTTTTCTATTTTAATGAGAAGCGTTGCAACTCAGTTCTTGCACACTCTTGGTCAGTGTTACCACAGACATGACATCTCTGTGGGTCAGAGACCCTTACCATGTAAACATGGTGCATTTTGCACGAGATAGCTCAAGTATGCATTTCCATACAAAAAAAAGTCATTCTTTAGGGTTCTTCGAGGCTGAATGTATTAACACTTATCTGAGCATTTCAAGAATAATTTTTTTAACACTAGAGGTGTCTCAAGTGAAGATAGTTCCAGCCAACAGGCAAGAAAATTCTCTTTGGCAGAAGAATTAAAGCAGGAGTGAAGAAATAGGTCTTGCTTCCCTGCATCTTCCCATTCAAGCACAGAAAGAGCTTCTGTTTCATCTGTGTAATCACACACATGCACATTTTTCCCCACAGATTTTTAAACAAAACTCCTAAAGATTTCTACACTGTTCATCAAAAGGTTGTATCATTGCTATAAAAGTCTTGTGCTCCTTGGGGTCCGTAACTTGAGCAAATGTTTGAATTTAGATCCTTTTTAAAACAGAAGCCCACCCTGCATATGAATCTCAGGAGTTAAAAAGCATTATCTTTTTTTATTATTTTTATTTTTACCTCTCTTGCATTAGATCAGTTTTCAAAACTTTCTATTTTGGCAGTATGGCAGTAATACAGTAAGCAAATTCCATGCAAGTATTTTTGTGTAAGTAACAAATGGACAGGCGACGTAACCAAAAACTGACACAACCTGCTTTGAGCTTCATATTTTTGAACTTTAGCCTCAAACTGGAAGACCTACTACAATGGTTCCTGCAAGCAGGTCAATGTTATCAATTTGCTTATGAGGCACTAGATGTCCAGTAGGTGTTCCTGCAAGCAGACACAGTGAAAGTCTTCAAAAAAAATCATTTATCTCAGACAAATTAGAGTATAGTCTCATAGGATCAGCTCAGTACCTCTGAAGTCCAGTCTAAACCATATTGCACAGCTATACAGAAGTCCCTCCACCAATGTCTGTCCTCATCTTTGTATGAGCTGAACAATAGATCCAGGTAACATAATACTACAAAGTGAAAAGTGTGGCTGTTTTATGCCAGGAATTAACACTTAACTTAGCCTTGCCCCCACATTAAAAAAAAAAAACAAAAACACAAAACAAACAAATGACAAACCAACCAGAAATCTCATTGAACTAAAAATGTCAGTTTAAAACCCAGCAACCACAAGCTCTACACAAAATGAAACATCAGGAGGACTAAAGCTTAAATTGTCAGCACAGGCCTTTATCCGTGGAGCTGAGAGACTACTTAATAATACATGTTATGTACATGCTCCCACAACCATGGGATCTACAGATGTCTCTGCAACTTGACTTATGGAGTAAGACAGCATCTTTCAGCAAGAGAAGTAAGACTCTGCTTTCTCTTTTTTGTGGCTGATTAGAAAGGGATTGTAGCAAATACAGAGCTAACCTAGGGACCCTGTCACTCTCTTGCCATTTAATATTTGGTTTAATTACATTGCTGCTGGCAGATCTCCTTCCAACCACTGCTCCTCTTTACTCACTATCAGCAGGCTCTATGGGCCAACATGGGCCAGTCCCACTGTCAGTCAGTCACTATTCCTGGAAGAAGGCAGCTGATGATTTTCTGAGTAATAAGAAGCAAGTTTACATCTCATCTAAACCAATATCTGATGACAAAAAAACATTAATAGTAAAGCAGCTACCACTTTTAGCTACAGTTATACATGTCTGTAACTTTGACAAAACAGGGACTCATGGATCTGTCATCTCCTTAAGATCCAGTAAAATGCTAGCTCTCTCAGCAGTTTCCTGTAATCCATCAGTTTGACATTCTTTCCTGAAATATCACTTTGATAATATCAGCCTGATATTTTTGGAGTCATAACTCCCAGATCAGACATTGACTACCTTTGAGAATAACTTGTTGAATAACTTCCTGGACAAAACTGAAAAATCTGGCTTGGTACACAGAAGCACAAAACCTAAGGATTGGTGTTATCACCAACTATTATGAACTAAGAACTTTCTCCAGGCAGGCAAGGCAGAACACCCTGTATTTTATATCACATAATGCAGAACAGATGGCACCACTGAGGTGAGTGACCACTCAGCCTCAGCTGGCAGCAGAGGGCTACTGAAATACAGACACCAGGTCATGGATGATAATGTCAGAAGTCAAGAAACTTTTGGAAAACCTAATACCTCTGCCTATCTCAATGCAGGAGCTTCCTATGAGAATAAGGAAGGGAGTAGCTGCAGTGCATGCACCACATCACTGCTGCTCCAGGTCTTCAGCACAGCTGCACTCACGTAACCGAAAGAAGAATGTGATACTATTGCACATCTCTGAAAGCACTTTGATCTTTCTGAAAAATCAATTGGTTTTCTATAACTATTTTCCAGAATGAACCTCAGTGAGGGCTGGTGCAAAATATTCCCTTATCTTCAAAGCCTCTGAATGGCTCTCAGTACAAGAGAAAACGGATATATTTTAAATTAAAAGAGAAAAAAAACACTGGAAAAAATAACAGGGAGAGTCATAGCTTATCACATTAATCTCAAAACTGAGTGTAGAATACTTTAAGATATTGACAGTGGAATGAATAAGCAATGCCACGCTTTTTAGTTTGAGTCACTCAAAACTGCCTGTGAAATATCAGGAGGTACAGACTGCAGTTGTTTCCTTTAAAATTGTCATGTTTACAGTAATAGGCACTGGAAAAATAGGACGCCCTTGATTTTGGGGGGTTTTTAATTGCAAAAATATTTTCTGACCACTTCCTCCCCCCCAAGCCCTCGTTTAAAGGGTGAGCTGATAAGTTCACAAAAGCAATGATGTTTACAGGACACACCTTCACAGCCTGTTTGTCTATTGATGAAAACACAGCATGAGGCCTTCCTTTGACCCTCTACACCTCTCTTCAGTTCAAAGCACTGCTTTCCATTCACAGTCACAGCTGTATGAAGTCTGCCCATAAAGATCCATAGGCATCCCAGTAGTACTGCCAAAATACATTTAATTTGGAGCCAGAATGTGCTGTTCTTTCCCCTGCACCATGTCTAACCTTTGAGCATGACAGGGTACAAAGGCAATGGAAAGTGAACAGCCAGAAGGGCAAAGAAACGAGAGATGGAAAGGAAAAAAAAAAGAATGAGTATGTGGGTAGTGAGAAAAGTTAAGACACAAGAACATGGGAGATGCAAGATACGCAGAAGATAGAGAAAACCAGCGAGTGTCTGCCCTGTTAATGCTGCTGTATGTTCTCATCCCACCTACAACAGCAGCACGCTATGGCTTTCCTTTCCTTTCTGTCCTAATTGTTTCTTGTGAGCTAAAACTCAAGGCTGTACATTTTGCTCTTCCATGACAATCTTCAGACACTCAAGCAGTAAAGGGCAGAACTTAAGAGAAATAACACAGTTGTCCAACTGAGTTACACGCATGTGTACCACCTCTTGTCCTCCTTCCTGCAGTGCCCTCCTGTAGGAAATCAGTGGCAGCTACCAGAAACCCTTAAGAAAAACAAAGGATGGAAATCATCCATTTAGAATAAATTTTGCTACTAAAATAAAACAGTTCAGCCTTTACCCTGCCTGTCTGAGCTAGGTCATTATATCAACAGCATTGCTCACAGGGAGCAAGGCAAACTGTGGTTTGGTGGGTCTCACCTCTTCCTGCCCAAGTGCTTGGAAAGGGAAAAAGACATGGTGTGAAGAAAGTGGTTTGAACTTTCTCAGGATGTGGAGCTAAAAAGCTCAAGAATTGCTGCCAGATTGTTTTGTGGAGATTATGAAGCAGAAAGAAAACACAGGCTCAAAATTAAGATTCAATGGGAAGTTTTAATTCCTATTCACATGGGACAAATGAGTTGTTTGTTTATTTTTGGAGTTAAGGCAGAGAGACATGATTCTTAGGGTTTTTTTTATTTTTCCTGCTCTACACTACTTCAATCATATGTAGGGTGCCCTGAAAGAACTGCTTATTTGTTTCCATGGAAATTAAAACAGATACAAAAAGCAAAATAACAGTTTGATAGAGTAAATTCTTAGCTACAAAACACTTTTTCAACACAGACACCACTATTACCTGTGTATTTTCACCATCTATAAGCAAAAGCCTGCATGCAGTGCTCATAAAAACATGCAGCAGTGGAGATGACCGCTGTTGCTGTCACCACTGCTGAAACAAACCACCCATCACCTCACTGTGCTCACATCCACTGTTTGATCTCCAGAAACGTTCAGCTAGTGCCGATGAATGTCATGGATGCAATGGGAGCAAAATTTCTCCTGCTGTGCTTTTTAGGGTTTTCTGTTTTCACTTAGGTAGCATGTGTCTTTAGAAGGGAAGCCATTAGTTACAACTTGGGAAGGAGGAGAGAAATCTACTTTTTAGAAGTAACTATATCTGTTTCAGAGATAAAAGCTGCAGCCTAGAAGCTATTATGTGGAAAGGGTCCCAAATAAGAGCACTAAAAGGAGCTGAGAGCAGATGAGAAGCAGGAGGACAAATTTACATGTGCTAGAAGGTACTGTGCCATTTTTCTGCAATGCGGAAAAACACCAACTTGTCCGGAATCAATACTAGAGGCAAGAACCAGCATGCAGGGACACAGAGAGGAAGCAACAGTTAACTGTTCCACTATGTCAGAGTTCTTTGAAGGTTTATCAGCAAGAACATCAGTATTAGACAGAGCCATAAAATTATCAAGGTTGGAAGAGACCTCTAAGATCAAGCAGTACAACCATCAACCCATCACCACCATGCCCACTATGTCCTCCAGTGCCACATCGACATGGTTCTTAAGCGCCTCCAAGGATGGTGACTCCACCAGCCTGTTCCAGTACCTCACCACACTTTCAGAGAAAAAGTTTTTCATTATATCCAACCTGAACCTCCCCTGACACAACTTAAGGCCATTAGCTCTTGTCCCATCACTGTTACCTGAAAGGAGAGGCCGACCCCCAGCTCATCACAACCTCCTTTCAGGTTAATTGTAGAGAGCAACAAGGTCTCCCCTGAGCCTTCTCTTCTCCAGACTGAACAATCCCAGCTCCCTCAGTCACTCCCCATAAGACATGTGCTCCAGACCTTCCACTGACTTCATCACCCTTCTCTGGACATGCTCCAGAGCCTGAGTCCCATTGCTAAATCATGCCCCTTAGTGCCACACCAGCACATCTCTTAAATACCTCCAAGGATGAGGAGACATCTGCTTCTCTGGGCAGCCCTCTCCACTAATGTCCAATTTCAGCTCTCCTGGAAACAGGTGAATTCATATACACAACAAAACCCAGTGAGATCCCATGCCAAATCTGTGCAAGTGTGGGCTCTCCATGGAGGCTCTCCTACAGTGCCTTGAATTGCAGCTGGCCTCTGACCTGCACTCCTGTCAAATCACACAAAGAATCAGCCCCTTTAGCTTCTCTTGACAAAGTTAAACACCTCCCTGTAATCCTATAATCCTTCATTAATCCTGTAATCATGCTTGCTACTCCTGCAATCTCTGTCAATAGCCCAATACTTTTTGGCACCTCAGCAATGGAAGGCAGGCTAAATACCTCTATTATGCCTGAGGGAACTACCACCCATTGCCCAGTGCTCTGAAGTTAAGAATGAAAATTAGATACTGTTTTCTACTCTGCTTGTCCTTTGAGATCATTCTTCTTCCTAACAATTAAGAGAAACTGCAGCAACTCCATTTCTAAATAGTTGCTGGTTTGGAAATACCAATGGAAAAAGAAATTCATATAAAATCCAGCACCTACCTGAAATCTCAGCACAGCTTATTTGGTTTGTTGGACATTTTAATCACTGTAATTGCTTTCCTTCACAACAAAGCAGACAATGGTAATGTAAAATTTTGACTCTTAGTGTTGTTTGCAAGCTATCCTTTAACACAAAACATTTTCATAGTAGTTTATAAAGGTAAACTGAAACATTACAGAACACTTCAAAATAAAGACCTTCAAACCTTGAAATTCTTCCCACAAAATATTTGTTAATAGCACTGAAGGCTCCCTCCACCATTTCAGTGGGAAAGGCAAAAGTTGCAATTTTCTTTTACCCTATTTTTGGAAGCAAACTTCTGGCAGCAAAGATAAAGTACTCCTTTTTGACCTTATTTAAACTGTAAGAAGATAACTATAAGCTTTGTTTTGAAAATAAATACACTGATACATACCATATATGTGCATACCAGAATAGAAGAATGATTTCTAAATGTCTAAGTCATACAACATCTGAACGAAGACAGACAGTGTTTTGGGACATTGGCTGCATTAACAACTCCACTTCTCATGAGCGCCTGTTCGAAAGCTTTTCCTCTGTGAGAAAGTACTCCAACCTAAATATTTCCTCAAAAGAGCACAACTCCAAACACAGCTGAAAAACTACCCTCCCAAAGTTTTCAGGAGGAATGATTAACAATTATATATCAGCACCACATATGAAAGCTGTACCCGCCCATAATCATTCTGTAATGGACTGGATTATACATATACCATTAAAACAGCCTTTCTATACAAGATAGACACAAATGAAGCAACGGCGTGGAGTTAAGTCTACTTTCACTATCCCAGAAGTGGCATAAATCCACTCAGCAGAGTACTTGTCAAAGTTGCTGCTGAATCACAGGATGGCCAGGGTTGGAAGGGACCTCAAGGATCATGGATCTCCAACCCCCCTGCCACATGCAGGGCCACCAACCTCCCCATTTAGTACTACACCAGGCTGCCCAGGGCCCCAAAAGAAGAAATGAAGGGTTCAAGAAATCATTGTAGGGTTGAAGAAATCATCATAACATCCATATGAAACAGATTAAGACAACAGCAAATATTTCATGCCTATTATTTACCACTTATTCCCCCAGAAGGTTATGAGGGGACAGGAAGGAGCAATTGTGCAGTTCCTAGGAGTATCTCCTTTCTTCTGTTAAAATCTGATATTTCAGTTAATAAAAAGATGACTGAGGAAGAGAGACCTCACAGCAGAAACTTAACTTTAAAGACAACAGGAAATATCCTGAGGAGTACTCCCAAGAAACCAGAACTCTGCCCTCATCAGTGAAGTCAGTTACTTATACCATTTGAGACTTCCATCCCTGATCTCAAATGACCCTCTTTCCCTGTACTTAGCATAACAATTTTCTGGGGTGCGCTTGTTGCTTTCTATGGCTAGTTGCGCCCCTCCACTGTTTGCACTGTATAGATTGACACGTACGATTGTGTTGGAAAGGACAGAGGAAAATACATTTTTGTCTGGCAGAAATGCAGCTCTCATTACTGTGGAACACAGTAGTTTTTCCATAGATGGGAAGCCTATCTGCACACTGTTGCTTACATGACAAGAATAAATGCTTAACAACATATCCATGTTGACTTTTAAGAACCAAACTTAGCAGGGAGTTTTATCCTGCCCAAATTCAACATTAGATTGAAGTTTCTTACACAGATTCATCCTGCACAGCACAATCTGAAACTCCGAGAGCAACAAACTTCACATGGAACAGAGTAGCTAAGGCCAGTGGTTCTCCCTCACTTAGCACTGACTTCCTTTCTATAAAAGCTTGATGTGGGAGGGATCAGATTTTGCTACCTTAGCTATGTGCTAAACTGAATTTTTGGGTGGGAACACACAGGAATCACCTCACCTGCAAAACCACAGTGAGCTACAGCCATAGGCAAAAGGCGAGTAACCCATCCTGCTAGGATGCTCAGGGTTGCCATGAAAACATGCCAAGTTTCCCTCCCATCCAGGCATTTCTCATTGCTATATCTTCTGAGACGTCTGAGAAAATACTCTGCAATGTGTCCATCAAAACTCGGTGCATTTTCCTGGCATTTTGTGCAGGGCACAAAGAGCACTGGCTCCCTGTTGGTGAGTGCAGAAAGGAAACAAACCATACTAAGAGGATTTTGTACTTACTTTTTAATCATCTTCTGTGCTGCCAGTAAGGAAGGCAGAACTGTGCCAGTATGTCACCCTAAATAAAAATCAGTTAGCAGAAATCCCCAACTGCTTGACATAAATCAAGCTTAACGTCAGTACAATAGCTGAGAGTGCGTGCTTCCCTTTTCCTCCCCAGTGAAGCACGGGTCACAGTGCTCCACAGGCCCACAGTAGCACATCTTTTCCATGAGTCCTGACAGGATGCTCAAGCTGCTCGGGGTGGGGACAGTCACCTCCACTTCCATCCAGTCTGCCTGCAACCTGTCTGGCAGATGCTTCACACAGCAAGAAAGTGACCTGCGCTGCTTAACTCTCCTTGTAAGTCAGCAGCAGGAAATCCCTACTTCCTTTTTTTTTTTTAAAAAAAAAAAAAAGTCAAACTACCGCATTGAAATACATTGTTTTCCAGAAATGATTTACTAAACTGCAATTAACAAGGAAATCCAACTCCGCCATTTCCTTAAGGAAACTCTGATTAGCAGTGTGGGCTACCAGCCTGCTCTTTACCCCTCGGTTCAGCACATTCAGGGGGTCATGCTTCCTTCTCACAGGCAGAACTACTTGGTGCCAGGAGGCACTAACACCACTCTAGAGTTTCCAACTGCTGGAAAACCAGCAAAGTGAGTTTCTTCCAACACACCAGTGAGTCATTACGTTGTTACCTGTACAGAAAGATCTGCAGAAGACTGATGTTTGACTGATGCATGAGATTAAAGCCTTGGAAATAGTAACATCTCGCTCAGAATAAAAAGTGGCACAAGGTCCCTAAGAGGGGACAGCCATGGCCTGTCTGTCCATGCGCAGGAAGTGAACATGGCTCTCTAAATACAATGTTATAAATTCGCATTAAGATCTTTCAGCTCAACAGCTCTTCTGAGCACTTCTCATCAATGGCACTGAGCAAGAATGTGCACAATTTTCCTGCTAACATCAGCCTATCTTAAGAAAAAGAAATCCAGACACACACACACACACACAAAACCAACTACACATCCTCTTAGCTTCTAAAATTATCCTGCATTTCCTCCTGTTCAGCATAACATCTTGTTATGCTGAACAATGATAAGGATAGCTACTAGCAAAGCAAATGGCATTTCAATTAATCAGCACATGGGACTACAGTACAGGGAAGAAGATACATGGAAGCATTTAGAACGTGTATTTTCAGACTTGGAAAACGGAACTATGTTAGGCAGAAGTAAAAATTCATGGATCGGTGAAAAACGATGTTAGGATACAGGCAAAATGCAGGTGTACCTCAAGTAGCTGGCCTGATGTTGAACTGGTGGTCAGTGCAAGAACAAGAAGAATAAAAATCCAGTACTCTCAACAAATGTGATACTTTCCTTTCACAAACTCTCTTTCCTAGGAGCCAAGCTCTGCCTGCTAAGGTTTTACTGTTCCCATCATCGCAGTCACACACGGACACTGTTATCTCTGGCACAGCCCTGCTCCTTCCTGTCCCTTCAGTTAGCACAACTGAAGACTCAGAATAGTAGCATCGTTTAGCATGCACACAAAGAGAGGACGCAGCTGGAGGAATTACATTCATTGTGGTTTCAGAATAAAAGCAGATGTCTCAAAAGGTTCTGAGAAATGGACTGTCAGCCATAAAAAGCATCTTATATACAACCTTGGGGTTCACCTCAGGAAGGCTGCTGTTCTGCATTTGTTAACTTTTGTGAAGTGCAGGGTGGCTAGTCTAGTTTCCCTAAGATCATTTAACCCTGCAGCCCCAATTGCTTAGTTCCTACCCCACACCATGAGCACAGCTCAACCCAACTGGTGAGCCAAGCAACACCTGAGCAGATCCAGGATTTAGAACAAAGCATTTCAGGTACTGCAAATCTATAAGCAGAAAATTATGGAGCAGTTGGTGTTTGAACTGGATCAAGTATTTTTTTTTAACCAAGAAAAGTACATTTATTGGAGTTATTTATACAGATAAATAACTCATACTGCACCTGCACAGCAACTTGTCAACATCAACACTCATGCACACAGATATAACCACACACCTTTTTTTGGTCCTAGAGTGGCAGCCACTCTGTAAGTCATTATTCTGGCTGACTTCTACAGAACAAATAACTCTGTTCTGAAACATACAACTTAGCTCCTGCTAAACTTCTCTGTTGACTTTTTAGCTGGCTTGTGTGCTTGGGTAAGATTTGTGCCAGACACCTCCAGAGCCTTCCAGCTCCAACCATTCCACACGCATGTGAGGAAGCACAGTCCTAACCTGTATGTGCCTCATGAGATGGAGCAGTTCAGATGCACAAACACTACTTAAACCCAAGAGACTAGCAGCGATCCCAAGGAGCTGACAAATATTAAGACGGAACAAAGACTGAGCAAGACCTTAAACATCAGTGCTCATCAGTAGAGCAGAAATTAACAGAGGACCCCTGCAGTCCCTGCATCTATCCATTCTTTCAGAGACACGGTCCGTGAAGTTGGTACAGCCAGAGGTACATGACAGGCCCAGGGAGGCAGAGGCATTCCTAAGTGCTGACACTCTGCAAATCAGGTGGGTGCAAGGCAATGCAGGGAGTTAAATGCTCCCAGAGCCACACTGCAGCAGTGAGAGGAAACAAGACAGGCAAACATGGGAGCAAGCCTGGAAATGATCAGACCTGCAGACACAGGTTGGCAATCAGAAGGGAAAAGGGAAAAGAACTGTAGAGGCTCCAATTCCATCTGCAGCAGAAACAGTCAGGTCTCAGTTTCTAAGAGGAGCACAACGCTTTCTTCTGCCATCAAAATCATAGCAGAGCAGCAAATTCAGCTTCTGTAAAACTTTCCATTGATCCTGTTAAATCCACAGTGCTGTAGCAAGGTTAGAGTTTGGGGTATAGGATTGCATATGACAAAGTCTAGGTATGAAATAATTGCCTTTGGCCAACAGAACAATTTGTCTTTGCTCAAATACAAGCAATAAGAATAGATGGATATAAGGGATGGAACAGTGTATCAGATGACCACAAGGATGATCTAGAAGGCCAGCCCATGCTTTTTGACAACTAAGCAAGGAACAGGCTGGGGTATTAACAGCACTGCACAAGTAGGGAGAGAGAGAATGACAGCAAAGCAGATGTAAAGGAGGGTATGACAGTAGTTCCACTACTGAGCTTTATATCAGTCTTCTTCTCATTTACATATTAAATAATCAAATAACTAACAAACAAATCAAAACAGGATTTGAAAGAAAGCCATATAAAATAAATTACTGAAAACACCTCTTTCCCCACCATGAAAGGCACCAAACCAGTGCCTTTAATCCGTCACCTGATGGGAATCCTACTGACCTTTTACCAGTAATTTTGGCAGATTTGGTGTGGTTTGAGACCTCCAGCAGCAGATATCTCTACAGGTAGCTCAGAAATACTGACTGTTGACACTTTCAGCGAAGAGGAAGGAACTGCATTAGCTAGGTAAGAAAGAAGAAAAGGAGATGACAGGAAGAAAATGATGAATTGCTGAGTTGCAAAACATAACAATGCAGAAAGCTATTAGTAAAATAATCCCCCCAGCTCTTTACTGAGAGTAGTTATGCATTGGAAGAGGACCCCCAGATTGCTCACAGCTTCCATAGGAAGAAGGCAAATACATTTGCAGACTAGCTGTACCAGGAATGGCATAAGCAGAGCAGATATTGTCTGGCAGCAGAAGAGAGGACTACGCATTCCCTCTGGTCCTCTTCCTCTTGATGTAGTCTTTAGATCAGAAATCAAACATTGTGCTAGTCTTTCAGCAACGAAGACGCTGACTAGAGAGCTCAGAGCTTTGGTCCTGATGTGTTTCCCTTTTACTGCTGCTACCTTCCAGTCATGCAAGTCTCTGCTTTTAGTGTTGACTTCATGATGCTAGGCTGTAACGATCCAGGAGATGAACGGAAATCCTCTGCAATCCTAGAAAACAAAGAAAAAGCTGAAAAAGGATAAACCAGAGAGGCTCATAGCAAGTACGGCTTGAGATTCATTTGCTTGCATCACTCTGAAAGTAAGTGGAGAACTGCCACACCCCTTTCTGGATGAACTACACTGGCACCTGAACACAAGGCCTTACTACACGTTTAAACAGAAGACCATAAATAAGCAAGCATTTCCAAACAAGACACAGGAAGTACAACATGACAAATTTCCAGGATTATTATTAATCAATTTTCATATTATAAAACTATTTACTGGGAAAAAAATGCTATTTAATTTCCTACAAATACGACTGCAAAGGAATAGGTAAAGTTATTACACTTTCTTTTTGTTAAACTAAGATTACGAACACCCATTCAAACAATATTGCAGATTTTGTAAAACACTGATCTGAACTACATATTATGACTATGAATCAGAGGACAGCTCTATTAAACCCATGCAATATAACAATGCTTGGAAAAAAATCACGATGGAGAAGACTTGTAAAACTACTTAGTTCTTAACACGCTGGGTTTATGGCTAGCCTACCACTTGCTCTCATTTCAGAGACAAGTAATTTATCCAAAAGACAACATAGCAACGCACTTAGAAAATGACAGGTAACAAATTTAGTAGAGACATGAAATATAAAACCCCTGCCATCATTGTTTTTTGCGTAGAGGAGTAAGAAGGTTTCCTCCTCCTTGTCCAACAACACTGTCTACAGCTAAAGTTGTTTTTGTTTTTTTTTTTTAAAGGAAAAACATTTCAGAATTTAAAATTGATTCCCCAAGAACAAGTAGTTCAAGCAGCCAAATGACATTTCACAGGAATGCTATTTATCAGCCTTTTCAGATGCTGACCATTCTCTGGTTACGCACAATGCTCTACTGTTTGCATAAAAGAAGGAGGAAGGACTGGGAAACTTCATGGGGAAATAAAAGCAGATATGGTGCACGGAATGGAAACTCTGGTAGTCACACCTAGCAAAGGCCTCTGTAGAGGGAAGGCCATTTTTAGCAGTATATGCCTAAGCACCTCTCCTCTGGTGAGGCAAGACAATTTTGAGAGGTCTCCTTGCTCACTGCTCTCCATGATGAAAGGCAGGATGAAAATTGTGCTCCTCCAGCAAAAGGAACACATTGCAGAAAAGCATGATGGGAAAGAGAGAGAGTATCAGCTCTCCTGCCCACAGTGAGGAAAGCAGGGAGTATTAAAAGATGGGATGCTCTGAAAGAGCATCCATACCCTGCTCTCTGTATGGAGCAGACTGGAAGGTACTGCTGGGTGTGCTTTTGTAAACAGAACAATTTTAGAATGACTATCGAACAGGAGCTATGTCATGAAACCTTCTGGGCAGCTGCATGTGATGGCCTCCAAATTACCATTCTGCTGATGAGTGTTTGTATAGGCCCTTTTTGTTTTTCTCTTCAGGCTATTTAAGTCTTCTTGGTTACGATGTATTTTGGTTGTATTTTTTTAAGCTGTGGTTTTGGGGGTTTGTTTATGTTTTGTGTTTTTGTTTTGTTTAGTGTTAAGAAGTGAAAAGGAATGAGGCTGCAAATAGAATCCTTTGCTCACAGCGAAGCCACAAGAGAGGGAACAAATGTTACCATAGACTAACCTCCCCCATGGAATGCCACAGCAGCCAGAGACCATTCCCCTGGACATAGCTGGCTGTGCATCCTCTGAAAGGCTGATATTCAGCTGTCATTTCAGGAAAACTCTTCAGAGAAGTCTCCTAAGACCAACCTGTTCCTGCGTTGTTCATAACAGGTTTGCCACTCTTACCAAAAAAAAAAAGCAGAGCAGTGAGTCAAAGCACACTGAACAAACAAGTCATACCAATCAAATGAGAACTTGCATATCCTTAAGCCAGAACACAGCCTTTCCAAAAATGAATAAGTACTCAAGAGTACTCGAAAAATAATTCTCTTCATTGTAAACAGAAACACGGCAGAAAAAATAGCAAGTTTGTACAAGTGCTTGTTGCTGGAAAGTTTCCTGAATAACTGGAATTCACTGCACAAAACTTCCATATTTCCCAGACTTCTGGGACACCTTCAGCCCCAAATTTGATTTTTTATTAACTGTGTATTATAGCTGACCAGCAAAGATATTACTTGCAGTAAAACAAGGCTGAATCTGTATCATTTTCAGCAGCTCCAAAAATAAAAAAAAAAAATAAAATAAAAATCAAGGAATCTGTAATTCCTATTCAGGGTAGTAATTTCTAGTTGGTGCTTCAGAGAAATTTTCACTATGTATCATAGTACTCATGTAACATTCCAGGCATATGAAGCCTAAGCATCTCTTCAAAGTCTGTTAGCTGTATTCTGACAAATGTTTGTCACAGAATCATAGAATCAATTACCAAGCTTGGTACCAACCACCAATCCACCACCACCACACCTCCCTAACCATGTCTCTCTGTGCTGCATCCATAGTTCTTGAATATCTCTGGTGACAGTGACTCCTCCACCTCCCTGGGCAGCCTGTGCCAATGCCTCACCACTCTTCCTGAAATGTTTCCTAACATCCAACTTGAACCTCCCCTGGCACAACTTAAGGCCATAACCTCTTGTCCCGTCGCCTGGGAAAAGAGGCCAACTCCCACCTCACCACAACCTCCTTTCAGGCAATTGTACTGGCCAATAAAGTCTCCCCTGAGCCTCCTCTTCTCCAGACTGAATAATCACAACTCCCTCAGCTAATCCCCATCAGACTTGTGCTCCAGACCCCTCATCAGCTTTGCTGCCCTTGCCTGGACACACAGCAGGACCTCAATGTCTTCCTTGTAGTGGGAGGACCAGTACTACTTTTGAAATGAGAATTATAACACTTAATAAAGTAGATAACTGTATGAAATACAAATTCCATAGAATTTTCATACAAAAGGAAACTTCAACATTTCAATTTCCAAACCAGAGAAAGTCACTGCCATGCAAAAGTTTTCCATGGAACAGGTTTTTAAATCAGATCTAGCCTTTTCTTCTGTGACCCTTCATGTTTTATTCTTCCAGGCCCTCCTAATCTGCTCAGCCTCTTAGGTCATCATACCTTTCAATAACAAACTACAAGAATTCTTGTCCTGTTATTATGGCTTTTTAAACACAAATATACTATTTGACCATTTCTAAAACTCTGTATGTGGCAAAACACGCATTCGTAACGCAAAGGAGCTGAGATTTTCCTACATGGATACCAGTGCTAAAACTAAAAACAACAATGCTGGTATCTACAGGCATATGTGAAACAGATCTACGCCCAGAAAGCCACAAATCTCCAGAGAACCCTTTGCATGGAATTTAATCCCCTCCAGAGACTGCTAGTCCTGAGAACCGACTGTAAAGTTTCAGCTGGCCAGGCTGAAATATGAGCATCCTGCAGGTCTTGGAAAAACAAGCGGATGCTGAGGAAAGCATACAGGTTAAGACATGTATGAGGTAGGTGAGCCACAGGAATTCATTGAGCCTAAGAGTCTATATTTTGCTTACCAAAATACCAGCTCCAGTGAGCTGGTTTGTTGACTGCACTGCTTTACAGTTAGCTGAATCAATTAGGAAAAGGTGCAGTTTTTTTTAAACACAGGTGTAGCAATGACAAACCACAAGTGTGAGCAGAATTCCATCTGTAGAAAGGTGATTTACCACATCCAGTTCTTCACCCTTCATAGAGTAAAGAGCACATCTAGTTGCCACTGTGCTTAGCCAAGGGTGAAGACGGAAGCTCTCCAATGCTCTGGCATTTATTCTTACCACAAAGCTGCTCGTTGTCTGTCAAAAAGTCACTTATTTGGAAACACAAAAGGCTTTGTGAAGGGGTTTCATTTAGGATGCTTCTGCAGCAAACCAAAACACATATGTACTTTATAAATGGTACCTAAGGCAAGTGTCTGAGGGATGGGATATCATCTTCGAGCTTCAGCTCTTTATTCTCAAGTGTCTGCCATGGAGAGAAGGGAGAAAAAACAAAGCAGAAAACTTCTCACAGAGGCAGAAAGAGAAAGGAGAAGCTTTGACAGAGTCCCCAGCTACACAGATAAAAAGTCAGTGTTCTAGTGGAAAGAAAAAAAAAAAGGCATCTTAATAAAACTGGAAAGGCTTTGTTTTTTTAGCTAGTGCAGAATAAAAAGCAGCATTGAAGCCCCAGAGAATGGCCTCAGACACTGGCATCCTGCAGACAGTGTGACTTCAGCTCTCTGCTAGGCTGTTATCAGAAGTGTGTTCAGAAGTATGTGTGTAGGTACTATTTCTCATTCCAACACCATCTGAGGATAACAGAGGATAAATCCTTACTACCTGTTAAATGCTACTTTCTTTCATATGAATCTTCGTGCTTTAGGAACATACACAGACCTCACAGCCCATCAGAGAAAAAAAAATAAGCCAGTGTAGAAACAGACAAGGGTCTGAAGTGAGAGCTGAGGTAAGGATATGGAATGGATCTCCTCATTACAACCTGGTAGCTGTGACTGGTAACACACACTAAACAAGGCACAGTACATTAAGAGAACAGAGAATGTAAGACTTCCAGTTCTACTGTATAAGTCACATCCTGGCACTAGAGTTAACCAAACCCATCATAAATGAGAAGGAACACCAACAAATGAAGATCCCAAATCTCGCTGCAGTTGACAAACCCTAATACAACCAGCTTACATCCATTGCTAAGTGCTGCTGAAGTAAGTTTCCCCTCTGATGCACAGCAGATGGTGTAGGGCACGGGGAACCTGTGGTGAAACTAACTATGCTGCCTGCTGCAGTGATCCCCTTACACGTCACCAGTGGAACCAAAGGGAACTGCTAATATCTAAGGGCCAAAATCACACCAGAAGATAAGTTAGCAACATTAGCTTCATCTAAACACAAGCAACCTGGTCCAACTCAGATATATTTCACTGACACACTCCTGCTTCAGCCACCTGCTGCAGCCACAGCAAAAGGGTGCAGGTATGTAACAAGGTGGCCTTACATGGCACAGTGGTCCCTGTGCCCCATCACTCCCAGATCCACTCCAGAAGATGACTACAGACCTCTGTCAGGTCACCCTGCCTCAGGGTGTCTCCTCCTAGGTCTGCTTGATTACAAGCTCACTGGTGCTTGGAAGGGGTGTCTCTAGATCAGGGATACACCTTTCCTACAACCATCCCATCTTTTCTTTCTGAACTCTTAAAAACAGAACCAAAGTACAGAGCCAACTCTTTGACCTTTCATTTCTGGATTGGTCAGAAAATCTCATCTGAACTGTTTATAGGAATGATGTAGAGCTCAAACACCACGCACAACTAGGAAGTTGTAAAAGGGATCTAAAAAGCATTCATTTTCCTTTTTTCCTCAAAAAAGTTGTGTCTCTGGCAGTAGCAGATTTACTAGGTTACCCCCTTCTCATTATAAGCAATAGGTTCAGGTTCACAATACACAGGTCTGACATCCCTGGAAATACCTCTTTAACTTATACTACATTATCATCATGAAGCACATGTTTAAACATTCCGGAAAACTGAGTTAATGTCTGCTGGCTTCTGAAAATATTTCTAAACATACTCATAAGAATTCAAAGTGAAGCACAACATTCTGATCTTGTGATGCAAAAGCAAAATTAGCGATGTCCATCATTCATGTGATTTTTGAATGAATTCTCCCCTTTCTGTAATTTCTCCCTTGCTATCCTGTTACTAGTAATGATGCCTAGACTTGATTCATTGTCAGGTGATCACACCTACAGGCACAGCAGTATCTCCTTTACTCAGCATTAGGAATCAGATTCACACATCAAGTTTGAGCTAACTTCTCCATTGTCCCACATTGTGTCTTAAAATGCATCAAGGTGCCGCGATTAGAAAATAGCCATGCCCCGAGAGCTCAGAACACTTCATGAGCTGGATTCTCAGTGTCCTGCAAAAATTCTCTAAGCAGACAAGCACTCAATTCTTTGTTGTCCCTCTACGACAAAGAAAACTGTTGAAATGCATTTGAAAAGACTTCCATTAGAAAGCAAAACACAGACAGTATGTCTTGCTCTGCCTGTATCCTCCCCCCCCATCTTGTAGTTTTGTATTGGTCCTCAGTGGTAACAGTGCAAAACAGCTCTTGAAATTACATGCAACTGAGGCAAATCTGATTCAACTGTAAACACACTGTAAAGCTTGGCATTATGACTGCCCATTCTCCATAACAATAGCTCAGCAAGAGCTGAGTCTTCCCTGCTGACAGCAAGACCTTACAATGGCTCTATGAAAAGCACTGGTTTCCATGCCACAGTAACTCACCATTTCAGCTCCTCTTACATATCTTCTTCCTCCAACGCAGTGCAGTGAGAACCAGGACCAAGATGACAAGTGAAAGAGTCACAGCAATAGCCAGACCCAAGAACCTGAATCCCTCTTCTGCAACGAACAACAAAATAAATAAATAAATAAATAAATGCAGAAAACAAACAAGAAACAAAGCTGATTTATCCAAGAAAATGAGGAAAAGAAAAAGCCAAGAGAAATGCCTGTTCAATTACAGTTCTTTATTAAGATTTTGCAAAAGCTGTGGCTAAGCTATATGCAAGTAGCAATTGCTTAGAAGTATGAGTATCTTCAAAGATGCTGCCCATTGCTTTCCAGAAAACATCAATACAACAGTTGGGATATATACACAACACTTTAGAAAGTGTTCCTTTATTCATCCAGAATTGGAAGTTTTGTTAGTAAAATAAAAGATATTTCTTTCACTATTAAAAATATAACACTGCTGCAAAGGATAAACCAACTTTCGAAAAAGAAGGCAGATGTGTTTTAATGCCTGTGAGAAGTTCTAAGCAACATTCTAGTGTAAATGCCCCTCTCTGGTTAAGTATCAGCCACATGATCTGATTGTTATTGATCAAATAACACATAGCCCAAATTCAGTGCTCAGTGATGATAGTGAGAAAATTTACTGAACTAAAAGCTATTCAAATCAAGCAAAAAAAAATATCAAGTCTTTTAAAACAGCTAGGGTGAGCTATTCTTTTGAATATCTCCTTCTCTAAACCATGAAAAATTGCTAAACCAACAAACTATTGCTGGGCTTTTCAATCTCCCAGCGACAATAACAGCAATATCTGTTTCCTGCTTTTAGAGATACAAATTTTTAAAAGGCCAAAACAAAATAACTGCATTCAAGACACGACAAAGAATATATTAATGTTTTGCAATTAGGGTGACTCACAATTAAGAACTAATTTCCTTTTGAAATTTCAGAGAGAAGATTAAAAGTCAGTCCTATGCTATTCTTTACTATTTTCAATATAACAATCATATCTCAAGCATGTAATACAGGAACTAACCCACAGTCCAAGTCTGCCTTCCTGTTTTTCTAATTTCCACAACAGAAAAGCGATCTTCCCTTTGAGGCACTGGATTTGGGCACACAGTTTAAACCACCTATGTTAGCACCCCTCTGTGAAATGAGGCTGGCACTTCAGCTTTTCTCATCCACAGAGCTGGACTTGAAATTTTTCCAGCAGAACAGAATGTTGGAAGAAGAATTAAACCAGTGCTATCAAGTATTCAGAAGTTATGCTGCTGCATTTAATATTGCCCTATAACGTCACTATAAGCCTCTTCAATTGATCGCCTACCTATCTGCCTGGGAATACCATTACTCCTTGATCATTACTGCAACAAACATGTCTTTTAGCAAAAATGTCAGAGAAGCTAAATCATAACGCACAGGTTATGTGAACGCAGTATCAACAAAACCTGTAATAAGCTTAACTGAAATATCTGGTTAATTATTGCTAACAGAAAATTTGTTATTAATTTCAAAACTTCCACTTCAAAGTTTATTAAGCCACCCACAGTGCAGAGTAGGGCTGCCTTCCTCCTCTTCCAGCACACAGTCATTTCACTCTCTCTTTCCCAGCAGACTCCTATCCAACCACATATGAAGCACAGAGGCTGAGGGAACGCATACCAGGGCCTTATCTCAGTCACCTACTTTTTTTCATACTTATGGGCAATTCCATTTCTTCATTTTCGTTGCTTACTCTGCAGATCAAGTCCTCCTTGCTGATGTACTGAGAGTCATAGACCTTCAGTTGACTGGTGATGGATACAACCCCATTGTCATACGTGAATTTCTCCTGTGTAGAAGTATAATTGAATACACTGTTCCAGCTGATGGTGGGCTCTGGTAGGCCAACAGCATTACAGGTGACTGTCAGATGACCTTCTGAAATGTTGTAATGGATAGATCCATTGAGACCTTCCAAGACACAAACAAGACAATTCATCATCACAAAGAGCACCTGGCCAGCAACTGTAATGGCAGATGAACCATTATCAAAGCTCACAGGATTCTCACACTGCCCCATGGCACAGCAACACTGTTAGGCCATCACCCCCAAGACTCAATGCTCCCCCTCTTACATTGAAGTGATATACCCCAAAAGTTTCATCTTACCTGAAAGTCCAGGTTTGGCAATGATTTGTTAAGAAAAACAATTTTTTTGCCTATTCTGTTCCCCTGTCTGCCAATGCTCAGGGCAGCTTGCAGTGCTAGGAGTGTAGCCAATACATAAAGGAAGCTGCAGCAGTGTTGGACTACTCACATTCCAGATGGGACTGCTTAGGGCTTACAAAGATTCCTTTTCTCACTTTTTAAGCTGTTGTTCACAAAATAGCAAAATCGGGACAGCCCAACATCAAAGCCAACATGAGAGGCTTGAATACAACACCAAAAAGCCTTGTTCACAGCAATAGAGCTCTACTTCTAAACCATTCCCCGCCAAGGGATACTCCTACTACTCAGGTTTCTAAGTTCTCTCAAGGAAATGCTGTGGATGAGAAAACCCCTCTCTTTCTACTGGAGACATATCCTTGCAGAGAATCTCACCATAGACTTCAAGGCAAGAACGTCCCGAAAAGGAGCCTAAAGGGAAAGTGTTGAACAAGCACAAGTAACACCCTGTGTCATCTATATTCGCACTCCAGAAGGTGATGCTTGTGTTGTCGAGCATCAGGCTGGTGAAATTCATCCGGTCTTGGTAGGGCTCCTGAATCTTTAATCCTGCTGACTTGCTGTATGTACCTATGTTACTTTGTGATTTTACAGAGTCTTTCTGCCATGTCACTTGCACGATGTTCTCAGGCTCTGTCAGGGCACAACTGAGAGTCACGCTGTCGCCCACCTTCACCGCTCTTTGCTCAAAATGCGTAATCACTGCAGCAACATAAAATAATGAAATGGGCAAATATTACAAGCATGCAGAAGCCTGACACTATTCTAAGTCTGGGACTACCCACAGAATTAACAATGCCATCAGCTAAAGCATTATTTCTATGTGAGCTTCCTCTGCCCAGAATCATCCCAGAGATCAAGTTACAATGATTTACACCAGATGAAGATCTGGTGCATTCCAAGCTACATAAAAGACATATCTGTTCTTATACCCATCCCTGTCTACTCCCACCTCAGTTTTATTATACCAACTCACGCCTTCCCAGTCTTAGTGGAGTCATGAACAATTTCTACCTCCCACAAGCCAGGAAAGATTAAATACACAAAGGAAGCATGTGCAAATCCATTCTCAGAGAACTGAAGGGTAGATCTAGCTAAAGGCATTTTCTAGACTACATAGCTTCAGAGTTTGTGGTGTATTTGAGAGAGACCGAAAGAAAAAAATTTGTAATTTGTTCCAGGGGAGAGAATCCAGTATGGGAAGCTCTGATCTCTAGTGAACAAAGGTTCCCAAACAGTGCCATAGATATGGGATGCTGCATGCCCCAATTTCCAAATACTAATCCAGGAGACCTTGCGTCACACTTGCCAGCTCCGAGCCTACGCTTCAGCTGTCTAATGCGTGTCAAATGGCGCCAGTGATCTGTATTTCACGTCTCTTATGCTCTTTACTCTGACTGGTGAAGGCTTAGGAGTCAGAAACCAACTCTCCAAACATCTGTAGGCAGATTTAAGGAAATTCAACTTACCTTTTGCCTTTCCAAGCACAACACAAACCAGACTCAAAAACAGGGCTTGAAAAGACATTTTGGAAGAGAGCATCTACTTCACCTAGAGAAAGATCATGAGAGATGTATGACTTAATCATAGATCAGCTTATGGTGTGAGTGATAACCACTGCTTTGTCATTTAAGAAAAACAAACTTACTGGGGTGGATGACAAGTTTTCCACGTTCTGTTGCGCAGTAGAGATGGAGCTGAAGTCGAGGTGCAAAAAATTGCCAGGTGAAAGATATAAATGTGTTAGCTTTCTGGATTGTTCCTCAAAGGTCCACATTTATGGACAGAACTGAAAACAGCAGTTTATTCTCTCATTTAGCATTTGCTCATGGATGAACTGGTACACGTAAAACAAAATGTTCAACGTGGACATGCTTCTGAAAGCCTGGTGCCTGCAGCTCAGGGACTGACATGTGCAGCTAAAAGATTCACTGCATGTAATTGCATAGAAAGGTCTATTAAAAAAAAGAAAATCATTCATGACAGAAAGTAACCAGAAAGTCTCCCTTCAGACCTTCCCAGGCAATGATTCTGCTCCACAACTATGCACATAACCATGTTCTATCCATTAGCACACAATCCATCCAAGGATGCTGTAGTACTACGCTGAGAGGAGAGCTGTGCAGTGTGCCCAGCAGCCTGACTAAGAGCATAACGCATCAGTTGCCCTGGACAGCTCATGAGATCACGGCATACATTAACACCTTCAATTACATGAACTGGGGAACCCACGTGGCATATAGCACCCTCCTACAGACAAACATATTTCCAAGGAGGGAGAAAGGGCAAAACCAAGGTTGCACTGCTGCTTTTCTTAGCAGACAGCTTTTGACTTGTTCCTCCTACTTCCATCAGGCAATACTGAACAATACAACTGAACTGTAGATCTGCCTGGAACTGTAGCTAGTGCCATGCAAACATTATTTCACAAAAAAATCTCTCTGCAACACGTATCACGTACACCTTCCTGACAATGTCTGCAAAACTAGCTGATGCTTCTTAGAAGTGCCTCTTATCAAGAACACAAACAAGTTGCAACTTCTGTCAGATTTTAGTAACATGCAAGAAAAACAGAAAACAGAAACTGTAAAGCATTTCTACATTATCATAAACATACTTGCTCTGTGCAAGCCTGCCTTTGCATTTCAAACTCACTGTGTTAACAAACCAAGTTTTGGTCTGTCAGAATGTCTGAATAGTGATGTCAAGTTGTGTAAAAATCAAGAAATCAGAAACAAGACAACTGCATCAGCAGCAAACTCAAATAACGCATTTGCCATGTGATAGAGCACATTCAGATTCTTGAGCACCTCCCTAAGATGTTCAGATATACCTAAAAATATGCAAAAAAAAGCAAAACAGAGATAAAATTTATAAAATCACAGAATATCCTAAGTCAGAAGAGATTCATAACAATCAATTCACGGCAGGACAGTCAGACTAGGTGGCTTTTAAAAGTCCCTTCCAACTCCAAGGATTCTATGATCAATGAATCCAGCTCCCAGGTCCACACAGGGGCCACCTAAAAATCAGATCCTATGTCTGAGAGCAGTGTCCAAACACTCCTTGAACTCCAGCAGCCTGGGTCCATACCCACTGCCCTGGGCAGCCCGTTCTATGCCCACCGCCCTCTGGTGCAGACCCTGTCCCTAACCCCCAGCTGCCTGTCCCCAGCACAGCTCCATGCTGTTCCCTTGGGCCCTGTCACTGCAAGTTACAGAAGCATTTATAAGCACTGAAAAAAAAAAACAACACTGCACCTGCAGGAAAGCACTTTTTCAGTAACAGTCACCTATCTCTTTGCTTTGAAACCTGGTAGAATCATTAAAATACCATGGCTCCTATCCTAACCACAAGATACACAATGAGGAACCAGCATACTGCACAACTCTTCTGGGTCACAAAAAGTCCCTTTCAGTCACACGTCCATCCTAGCGCGTGAGACAGAGCAAGCAGAGAACAAATCTTTAAGCCATACTCACCCCAACTACATCCACCTGCACCTGTTTCCCCACAGCCACATTACTAACAGCCGCTCTGTCAGAGCTGTCGGTCCCCCCCGCACTTTCAATACCCTTTCCCAACCAACTTCAACAACCATTCAGCGTTCAGCCCACGAGCTGCATAACTGACAAATCACCAATCCCACGCTCTTGGCAACGCCTGAGGCGCCATACCGGTCCTCAAAAGTGCAAGCGGGAACATTCCCATCTCTCAGCTCCACGCGCAATCACGCACTCACAGAATCACAGAATGGCCAGGGTTGGAAGGGACCTCAAGGATCACGAATCTCCAACCCCCCTGCCACAGGCAGGGCCACCAACCTTCCCACCTAATGCTAGACCAGGCTGCCCAGGGCCCCATCCAATCTGGCCTTGAACACCTCCAGGGACCCGGCATCCACAACCTCTTTAGGCAGCCTGTTCCAGCACCTCACCATAAAAGAAATTCCCCCTGATGTCCAACCTAAACCTCCCCTCCCTCAACTCAAAACCATTTCCCCTCGTTCTGCTGTTATCTACCCTTTCCAACAGTTGATTCCCCTCCTGTTTGTAGGCTCCTTTTAGGTACTGAAAGGCTGCAATGAAGTCACCCCGCAGCCTTCTTTTCTCCAGGCTGAACAAGCCCAGCTCCCTCAGCCTATCCTCATAGGGGAGGCGCTCCAATCCCCTGATCATCTTTGTGGCCCTCCTCTGGACCCTCTCCAACAGATCCCTGTCAACAGTTCCCTCACCCGCACACAACCCGCAGCTCCCCGAACCCCGCTCCGTACCCCGCTGCGATGCCCCACCCCCGGCACCCCCGGCCGTCCCCGTTCCTCGCACACGGCCGCAGGAGCGCAGCGGGTACTCACCGCAAGCGCCCGCGGGCAGGGAGCGCGCTGGCCCCGCTGCACGGCGCGGCGGGCGGTGGGAAGGAGGCAGCAGGGTAGCAGCTACCGCCCACTGCTGTGCTGTGTCCGGCTGCGCAGCAGAGCCTCTTCCTCTGGATCGCATGCCAGCGCAAACCGCTTCTTGCTCAAAGCGCAATTCCTACGGGTTTCAAGCGTGATTTCAAGTTGATTTTGATACCCAGCATCTTCTGGGTACTTCCTTGGTGGTGATTAGAAGCTCACATCTGGATGTGTCTCTGTGCCGTTGGAAGTGAGCTTTTGTCATCACTGTAATCACTCTGCCAATTAATAGGAGTGGCAAAAAAATAACAATCAAAAAGATCAACGCGATGGAATACTGATACAGGAGGCATAATGACAAAGGGACTAACGTGATGGAAAGGTGCTACAAAGGGAAAGGTAAAGTACTCACCCACCTCTGAAGAGCTAAGCTTGTAGGGAAAACTCCACAAAGGAGAGATCTCCAACCAGAGATCCTTCCCCAGTCACAGTCAGCCCTTAAATGGTGTCTAAGACAGGTGCAGCCAGGCTTCTTCCAGTCACACAGCTGAATTGCCTTCACCTGTGCTCCCAGGCTGACTCAGTCCTTTCCCCAGGTGCTCAATCAGTGGTTCAGGTCGTGACTCAACAGTTCCCATACGCACAAAAGCCACTCTCGATGGCCTCCTGCTGTTAGACTGGGGCACTTTCCCCCAGCAGATCTTTGTCCCAACCTTGTCTGAAATAACTAATTTCTCAGTTTGATCAGTTAGAAACAGCATCCTTTGTCACCACCTGTGTCTGCTGTTTGCTGCTGCTTCTGTTGCTTTCACGCCTTGCCAAGCTCACACCTCTGTTACTTTCACACTTCTGTTGACAGGTCATTCATACCAATTTACATATTTCTGTTAGAAGAATCTAGAAGGCTTCCTATTTTAAAACATCTCTGTTCATGGGAAAAACACTGATCCTAACACAGTTTCACCTCTCTCCCAAAATACCTTTGCAAAGCTGCCTCCATCAGACCATCTGAGTGGTCGTCAGCCCAGCTAAAATTGAACCCCATCCTTTTTTAAGACACAGATAAACGTGGTTAGACAATGGTTCCTCCAGGAGGATGCAACTATTAAAATAGCTCCACCACCATGCTGGATTTACTGGAGTCCATGCTTTTCCATTAACAGACCAAAGCCTGGGCTCTGCCATCAGCTTTCTTCAACATTTTCTTCCATCTCCAATGGGAGGGGCTTGAATCGCTCAGATTTCCTTCCATTATAGAATCTCCGAAGTTGGAAAAGATCTCTGAGATCATCTACTCCAACCATCCACCTACCACCACTATTTCCCCACTAACCTGTGTCCCTTAGTACCACATCTAAATGTTTCTTGAACACCTCCAGGGACAGTGACTCCACTACCACCCTGTGCAGCCTGTGCCAGCCTGGCCATCTTTTGGAGAAGAAATTTTTCCTAATATCCAACCTGAACCTCCCCTGGCACCACTTGAGGCCATTCCTTCTCAGTCTTCCCACCTCCTCCCCCCCTCCCCCCCTTTTTTTTTCTTTTTATCAGGTAGTGAATGAGTGATTTCCAAATCAAGCTTGGGCTCCAGCAACTGTTCTGCTGCCTGTTGCTTGAACCTGATGTCCTTGTACTCTTCACACAGATTCTTCTTTTCCCCAGGGAGGTGGTTGAGTCACCATCCCTGGATGTGTTTAAAAACCACCTGGATTTGGTGCTCAGGGACATGATTTGGTGGAGGGTTGTTAGGGTAGTATGGTTAGGTTGTGGTTGAACTCTTTAAGTTCTTTTCCAACCTGAGCGATTCTATGATTCTATGATCCTTATGAGAAAACCATGTTTGTGGATCTTCTGTACTTACTACCTTCACAACTGAGGGGATTTCAGAAGGGACTTCAGAGAACTGTAGGCTATACAGCTTAAAACAAGTTTATCCAGAAGCGCTTTGTGCCAACAAAGCAGCAGAAGTAGGGAAGTCCCAAGGACATCTTTCTGCCCTTCATGAAGATAAAGGGGACATTCAAGGGACTTGAATATTTTTCATTAGGTCATCCATTAGATCACCCATCAACTCATATCTTCTGACGTGGAACAATTTTCTATTTGTCTACGTTTCTCTGTTCCCTCAATGGGCTGGCGGAACAAAGAGAAGAAAGAAGAAAATGATGAAAGGGTCTGGAAAGTAAAAGAGCTGCTTCTCTGAAGAGAGGGCAAAACCCAGAGCTGAGCAAGGAGAGGGTATTTCTGAAGTAGTAGGTAAAAAGCAAAGGTAACCTTAGGGCAGACGGAGGCAAATGGAAAGTACTTCAAGCAGTCCAGAAACTTCAGAAAATAGAAACTTTTCATATTCATCATGGAACAAGAAGACACAAAAGTCTCTTTCAGCTCTGTTCTGTGCTGCCATTTCAACTGTTTCTTTTTGCATCCCAGCTCAGTTTAGCAATCTCTGTTGCCTTTCCCAAAGCAAGTGGTAGCTGAGCCAACACCAGTGCTTCAATGTGATAAAGCCTTAGAAGTTAATGAGAACAAAGGTGGTGAAGCCTCTTGTCCTATAATCTGGAAAGTTATCTGTGCTGCTCCTTTTATTTTTTCACCTGCATTGCTACCTGTATGCTGGTGAAAGAGATCTGATCTCTCCTGTCATGAATGAGTTCTAGTCTTTAGTCTTTCCTTTGCCTTCTCAGTGGATACTCTCTGCTGTGAATGCCTTTCTTGGTTCTTCCCTTGATTTCTAGGCTAATGACCTCCTCTAAGAGAAACCATTTGTGCCAAAAGCAGCAAAACTTTTACAGGTTTGAGAAAGAAATAAACGGTACAGCTGATTCATGCTGCTGTCATTTTCAGGAAGAGAAAATACAGGGTTAGACTAAGGCCAGTGGTAGTGATAGAGATTTCAGTTATGGGAAAAACACTGAACTTTACAGGCCATATCAGCTGCTGGAAGTCACATTAAGACTATTGGGCTGTCGATTAACATTCCTCTGGTTCCGCTTCTGTGAATTCACATATCCCTCTTAAACATCAAATTCAAGTAATGCTACCAAAACTCACAAATACTTGGATACCTTTATATGGAGGTCCAGCCTGTCTCAGAGCACCTATCGCGTGTCATCATAGAATCATAAAGGTTGGAAAAGACCGCTAACATCATCCAGTCTAACCACCAACCACTGCCATGCTCACTAACCATGTCCCTCAGCAGCACATCCACATGGTTCTTGAACACCTCCAAGGACAGTGACTCCACCACCTCCCTGGGCAGCCTGTGCATCACTCTTTTGGAGTATTTTGCAATATCCAACCTGAACCTCCCGTGGTGCAACTCAAGGCCATTACCTCTTGACCTATTGTTGTTATCTGAGAGAAGAGGCTGACATGCACCTCTCCACAACCTCCTTTCAGGTTAATTGTAGGGAGCGATGAGGCCTCCCCTGCGTCTCCTCTTCTCCAGACCAAACAATCGTCCCATAAGATTTGTGCTCCAGACCCTTCACCAGTTTCTTTGCCCTTCTTTGGACACACTCCAGGTTCTCAGTGTCCTTCTCATAGTGTAAAATAGACATGTTTAATCATTGCTGTAAAAGGATGTTTTGCATTAGATGGACTTCATAGAAGTGGGAGCCGTTGCACACCATTCATCTTTGATACATCTAAGATATCAGTATCTAATCAGGCGTACTCTTCCTGTCTCTTATTTCCCAGTGCAACACACTGGTCTTTCTGCTTCAATGATTTCTCACACCTTTCTCACAATCTTCATGTAGCGGCTTTTTCTCTACCTGGCAGCCAGGGGCTGTGGACACGACTTGCTCCACGGACCTGTTCAGAAGCACATCACATATTGGAGAGACAAACAAATGTTCTTGCACCCAGACGGTGTGAATTCTGGCTTCCTAGGGACAGGTAACTGGGAGAAAATCAGGGTAATCATTGGGGAGAAAGGTATCTCAAAAGAAAGGTGAGACCACTACTACAAATTTTTAAGATTTCTGCCCTCCCACAGAACCTCCTTCAACTCCTGAGAAGGGTACACAAAAAGTAAAGATAACTTGAGCATTTTATCTGCGTCTTGTAAGTGGGGCTGGGTTTGGTCTCAGTTTCTTGGTAATGTTTTTCCCCCTGAAGGGACTTCCCTTTGCGATTACTAAGACCAAAAGGAACAATTAATGCCATTTCAGCAGAAAGAATCAAAAGAGTGCTTTTAAACTGCTACCTGATCACTAGTGGAAGGAAAAAAAAAAACAAAAAAACCCAACATGTTAATTGTACTTGCAGACATCCAGTACTGAAGTATTTAAAAAAAATCCTGGATGTGAGACTTCCTAGAAAAGCTGAGACTATTCCTGTCCACCTGTTTTCTGAGTCCTTGATGTGCGCTTCATCATATTTTCAGTTTTTCCTTCTCAATCACTCAGAGCTAACTTTTTACTCTTAGGAAAATTACACTTCTGCACTGAGGATAAATCCTGTACTACACACTGTGTCAATGGTTAACGGGCCAGTTCGACCCGTTTCCATGACTAATGGAGTGGGGGGACCTACGGACCCACACCTGGGAAGAGGGGGAAGAGGAAAAAGGGTAAATAGGTAGGGAGATGGGTCTGAAAACAAAACAGCGACAAGAAGATAAGGGAGAAAAACTAATTAACCAAATATGATATCGGAATACAAGACACAATATAATACAATATAATTGGAATTGAGGGAAGTAAATCAAATAGAAAGAGTGAGAGAGTGTCCAAAACTGAAGGCCTTACTCTGAAGCTGTAGGTGAGATGGATAGGAAGCACACACTGCAGAGAGAAGCTGCAAAAGAAAGATCAGTCTCGTGACTTGTGAGCAGTTTTATCTTTACCTCTGAATGGAAAATGGAAATGGAACAGTGAAAATCTTGTAGGATATGTAGTTCTCTTCTGAGAACCAGGTACCATGAGCTATCCACGGTCCAGAGAACTGGAGCATTAACTCTAACTCCCAGTGCTTTACATGATGTTATGATGTGGAATACCAATAACAAAAGTCATAAAACCATGACACACTGCCACTCACGGCTGCACTGTTCTCTCTAGAATTTCAATTTCCTGGGAAAAAATATCTTTGAAAAACAGTAAACTCACAGTCCTCTTGTATGTGTGTGCATGTGTACTTCTATATACCTATATGGATGGCTAGACCAGTTGGAGCTACAACTACAGCATGTCCAAGAATTACCACATTAATTTATCTGCTTCGTCCATGGCTGACAACCCCCACAACAGAATTTGTCAGAAGGTTTTTTGCACCCTAGATGTCTTCCCAAGTCCCATCAGACTTCCAGCAACCACATTTCTCCTTGTGATTCCATACTTGCCTGGATATCACTGGCCTGGGGGAGGATTAACTATCTTCTTTGTATCTTAGATGTTCAGGATATCAAAGCTTTCACATTCACGTTGGATATCAGGAAAATGTTCCTCACTATAAAGGGTCGGTGAGCCTTGGAACAGGCTCCTTAGGGCAGTGGTCATGGCACCTAACTTGACAAACTTCAAGAAGCATTTGCACAGTGCTCTCAGCCACATGGTCTGACTTTTGGGTGGTCCTCCGTGGAGCCAGGAGGTGGAATTGATGATCCTTATGGATCCCTTATAACATAGGAGATTCTATGATTCCATTTGCAAGTCAGAACAGAAAATAAAAACAAGAACATGAGTTATGAAGGCACTCACAGGAGGCCTTTCCACGTTCGTTCCATTCCACCTCCAATTCCTGGTCTCTTCCACTAGAGGGTACTCTGCCACTGGAGAAAAATGCACTCTGCCCAGCAACTGCATAAGCTGTCAGAAGTCTTCCAAGAGACGCTGGTAAAGTTTCATGTAATAAAATAGAGAACTATGGAGGAAGCTTCCCATCCTAAGCTCTCAAACATGTAACTCTTTTCCAAATATCTGTCTTGGTAATGTCCCACAGGCCTTGATGCACTTGCAGTACAGATCCTCCTGCCTGATCATTTGTGGAACACCAAAGGAGAACTTGCAGCGACATGTTGAATAATATGGTAAACTCAGTCTTCCATGATCTCTCCTCTCACAGCCTTGCTAGAAAGTGAGAACAGAGTGAAGAGTTCAAATAGAGAGGAAATACCCATAGTGCCAAAAATGGCATCACAGTGTCAGTCTAAAGGAAATCTAGGATGTCACCTTGTACAGGACCATGCACAAAGCAGGATTAGGAAGATAAGGGTGCTCCAAGCCCTGTCCAGGTGAATTTTGACTGTGTCCAAGGCTGGGGCCTCCTCAGCCTCTCCAGGCTCTTGTTCCAATGTCTGTCCTACCTCTCAGTAAGAAAAAAACATTTATCACACTGAATGGGAACTTCTTGTTCCCATTGCTCTTACCCTGACTGCCAGGTGCCTCTGACAGGAGGACAGTGCCATCTTCTCCTCAGCTGTGGGATTCAGCCAGCCCACCCTTGACTCCCAAGCCACATGTCATCTACTCACAAGCTGGTCCACCTCCACGTTTGCTGGCTCTCGTACAGCACACCCACACTCACCCCAGATGCCACACAGATGCTGACCCTGGTCAATCTGGTGGATGGTTTGGCTCATGTGGGTGTTTCTAGTCCCCAATACCATGGTCTCAGCCTAGCTGCTGGCACTAGACCCCCATACATACAAACATATAGAGAGTTATGCTACTAGGAGATGGAAAGTCATTTAATAAAAAAACGTACATTGTTTCCCATCCCATGTCCCATACCCTCATAAAACAGTGACTCTTAAATTCAAAAGATGCTCCAGTGGTGGCTTATCTTGACAGGATACACACCTGAACTCTGTGACTGTAGGACTGCTGAGACAGCACCAGGAGGGCCAGTATAGGCTATCTCCTCCTCTGAAGCCTTAGCCTGGATTCCCCACCTGTGTGAAGCCCTTAGTGCTCCTCTGGACTTGTGGAGACAGCCTTTGGTGGGCTGATTGCTCCCCTGAGCTGGGCCAAGGAGTAGCCATGGCAGGGTGTAATTCAGACTCTTCACATGCCTCTGTCTCACTGTTGTTCTTCATGAGTGTGCAGCCCAGATCATTATTGCACAACTCAGTGAGCTCCATGTTGGGGATGGCACTGTCTTGGCTGTCAGCTTCCTCTGAAAACACGAGCCTCTTGTTTCTCTTCCAGGTTTCTCTTCCTTTGTTCTCTTCCAAATTTCTCCTCAGATTTAGTGGCTTTTTGTGAAGTGAAGATCCTGGTGTCTGCCTCTGTAAAAAAGTCAGCACAATAATTAACGACAATAACATGACCATTATCTTGAAGACAAGAAAACAGAAGGGCTCCTGTTTACAGCACTGGTGTGGTAGTGCCACCCCTAAGCTACTCTGCGATCTCAGCATAAGCCACTGGCACAATTTTGGTTTTGCTCAAGCATCATGTATTGAGATGCTCAGGCACTCCCTGAACATACCTGGAACTGCTGCTCCTTGAATTGTAGCCTGATGTGAGAGGTAACAGAACGGTACAACCTGGGAACACTGGAACTTCACAACTAGGAGAAAATTCCAAGATTGCCTCATGTGAATTGTGGTCAGAACGGAAAGTTTTCTGACTAAAGTCAATTATCTCAAGGTCTTGCTGTTAAGGGTTTCCTAAGCAAAGAGCCCCTTGAGCTCTCAAGGACCTCAGTTTGCTGTGATCTTTGATCTCCCCAAGAGTTGGGACACCTCTCAGCATAGGTTATTTTTGAGATTCAACACTGAAGAAGTGGAGTTCCTTTTGGGACAGATCTCATTATTCACTGAGAGATGATGAAAGGAATGCTAAGTAATTCACCCAAATGAGTTTAGAAACCTTCCCTCAGAATACTCTGCCTGTAAATTTCAGATGAACCTTGTCATTCTCAAACCTTTAACTAAGTCACTGTATTTGACTGTATTAAGCTCCATTAAATCATTGTTAAATTGGCTTATGATTAAGTAATCCTATCCAACCCTGTGATTTGTCATGAAAGTATTAATAAACCCTAAATTATTGCTAAAACCAGAATTGTATCATAATCAGTCTGTGACAACAGGACTAGCAAGAGCTTGAAGAAGAGAAAACCCACAGGTCAAAGAGAAGTGGCTAATGGTGCCAAAGAGCAGCCACAGTCACTCACCAGTTGTGTCTGTGGATGCCACCAGCCCTCCAGTAGACCCTGATGCCTGTGTGATCAGAAAGGCAGGACAAACCTTTCTGGAAAGCATCTGTCTAAGACTGCCAGTCACAGAGCCTGAGCTCTGCAGTGCTGCATCACCTTTGTCCAGAAGGGACGTCCCATCCACACAGCTGGGCATTTCCAGTACCTCATCTGCCTTTCCATTTAACTGCATGCCAGTTTTCCTCCTTCAAGCTCCAGGCACTCCCCAGCATTGCTAGAGCATAGCTGGGGCATGTATGCTGTCATCTACCCTGCAGCTATCTGGAGTAGTGGAGATTTGACACTGAGGGCTCATCCTGGCTTTCACACTCAAATAGCTAGCACGACAGCCCTACAAAGAGCCCTGCACAAGTGGACCCCAGCAGAACAAGTCCAAGGCCACCTCATGAGACTGAACGTGTACAAGTTTATGAGGCCAGAAGACATGCATCCCAGGGCCCTAAGGGAGATGACTGGTATTGTTGCCAAGCCACTCTCCATTGTATTTGAAAAGTCGTAGCTGTCAGGTGAAGTTCCTGGTGACTAGAAAAAGAGAAACATCACTCCCATATTCAAGAAAGGTGGAAAGGAAGGCCCAGCAACTACAGGCTGGTGAGCGTCGTATCTGTGACTAGGAAGATCATGAAGCAGGTCCTCCCAGAAAAGATGTTAAGGTGCGTGTGAGACATGGAGGTGATCTGAGACATCACAGCTTCACCAAGGGCAGATCATGCCTGACCAATCAGGTGGCCTTCTATGTTGGAATGACAGCATCAATAGACAAAGGATTTCATCTGCCTGGACTTGTGCAAGGCCTTTGACATGGTTCTGCAACACATCCTTATCTCTAAATTGGAGAGATAACAATTTGAAGGGTGGATTATTAGGTGAGTAAAGAATTGGTTGGGTGACCCTAGCCAGAGAGTTGCGGTCAATCACTCTATGTCCAGGTGGAGGCCAGTGATGGGTGTTGTCTCCCAAGGGCCTGTCTTGGGACTGGTGCTCTTTAACATCTTTACCTATAACATAGATGATGGGATTGAGCACACCCTCAGCACATTTGCAGACAACATCAAGCTGTGTGGTGCAGTTAATATGTACAGAGGAAGGATGCCATCCAAAGGGATCTTGACAAACTCAAAAGGTGGGCCTATGTAAACCTAATGAGATTAACAAAGTGCAAGGTGTTACATTATGGGTCAGGACAATCCCAGATACGTATACAGAGTAGGAGAACTCCTTGAAAGTAGTATTGCCAAGAAGGACTTAAGAGTCCTGGTAAATTAAAGACTTAACATGAACAAGCAGTGTGTGCTTGTATCCCTGAAGTCCAACAATATCCAGGGCTGCAAAAGAACAGTAGTCAGCAGGAAGAAGGTGCTTATCCCCCTCTACTCTGCTCTCGTGAAGTCCCAGGTGAGTATTGTATCCATGTTTAGGGCCCCCAACACAGGTAAGAGTTGAGCTGTAAGAAAGGATCCAGATGAGGGCCATGAAGATTAACAGAGAGCTGCAGCACCTCTCCTATAAAGATAGGCTGAAGGAGCTGGGCTTGCTCAGCCTGGAGAAGAGAAGTCTCCAGTCTCCAGCAATACCTCACTGAGGCCTTCCAAATTAAATGAATATTATAAAAGGAGAGAAATAAACTTTTTACATGTATAAATATTGATAGGACAAGAAGGAATGGTTTTAAACTAAAAGAGAGATTTAGATGAGATGTTAGGGGTAAATTTTTCACTGTGAAGGTGGAGAGATGCTGGAATGGGTTGCCCAGAGAAGTTGTGATGTCCCATCCATGGAATCATTCAAGGCTGGGTTGGATGAGATGCTGGGCAGCTTGGTCTAATGGGTAGTGACCCTGTCCATGACAGGGTGGTGGAACTGGATGGTCTTTAAGAACACTTTCAACCCAAGCCATTCTATGATTCTATCTTGAAAAAGATTTTTGTCATGTTCCTCGCAATAATTGTCCAAGACTTCTGAAAGATTTGAAGAATTGCTGGAAGTGCTGGGCACTGGCATTACCTTATTTTGATAAGCACTGTCTTGGTCCTCCAGCATGTTCAGGCTTTTGGATTGCTCACTTACATCCTGCTGTAAGCCTTTCTCCTTTTCAGGTGTGCTATGTGCTCTCTGTTTCTGCAGTCTGAAAAAAAACCACCAGCTCATCACATAATACTCAGAAATCTAGCATTTAGATTGAATCTTATTGCTTTAAAATTAGTGTTTCCACCTGGGTGAGTTTCCAGTGCAAATATATAAAAACACCAACAGAAAAAAGAAAGGCAAATTGCAATGTGAAGACAGGTAAGCCATGAAAATCACTCTTACCTTCTCCTTTTTCTGTTGATTAGCCCCATGATGAGAAGTACCAAGACTGCTAAGACAGCACCTATGAAGACCACCACAAGGCTTATTCTCTTCTGAATACCTATAAAGAGACACAAAACATGGAGGAGTGTCAGCATGTTTCTTCTGTCCTCTTCCAGAGGTTGTTACTAAACTGAAACATTAATCATTTTAAATAAATATCAGAAATACCTGTAACATTCGGGGAAAGCAAATCCAACATTTTGACTTCTGGTTTGTCTGTGTTTCCACTTTCTGTAAAAAGAAGTTTTATAATTAGGGAAGATTTTAATCATTTCTGAGAGGCGTCCTCCTATAAGAATCTCTATGTGAAAGACTGCTCCTCAGTATTCAACAGTGAGGGCCTACTCTGCTAGTACACTCCAGCTGGGGATAATGCTGGAGAATATCATCCCTACATAAGTAATTACTTATATATAAATAGAAACATACAGAGATGCATGTAAGTATGTTCACCTGTGCAACCTGATGTAAGAAGCCTGCTTTGGCAGGGGATGTTGGACTCGATGATCTCTGGAGGTCTCTTCCAACCCCTGCAATTCTGTGATTCGGTGATTCCTATGTAAATAATACATATGTACACACACACACATCGTGCAGCCACAGAAGTACTATAGGAAGGAGTCTTCAGTATGGTTCCAAAGTAAGAAATCTTCATTCCATGTAAGGTCTGTGCTCTCGGAAAAGATCTCTAATAAGACTCTTTAAGACAAGTTGCACTACTACAACTGCACATGCAGTTGCCTATCTGGACAGCAGACAAACAATGGGCAATCACACACAACATGGTTATATTTTTGTTTCCCTGAGCTGGCTAGCAGTGTCACTACTGATTGTGATTTCTAAAGCACTCCCTGCTTCAAGCTGCACTTCTCCATGCAAACTCAGCCTTGACTTTTTATTGTGAGCTGAAATGACTTCATTTTCCTTCTCTGTGGGTGGTCAAGGAAATAAGCCAAGGTGTAGAGATAGCTAGCAGAGAAGGTGCATCTGCTTGCCACTGTCAGTGTTCCATTTGGGTTTTGAATGTGGTGTATCTTGCGGGGCTCGTTCAGGCCTTCATTAACCAACCAGGTGATGTTGGGGGAAGCTTTCCTGTTGCTGAGCAGACAGAAGTGAGGATACCTTTGGTAAACAAATGGTACTCAAATTCCTCTCTTAGCTCAGAAATTGATGAGAGAAGACATTTATTACACTCAGAGGGGAGTCAGTGGTCAAAGCTGGACAGGTCAGCTTTCTGTACTAGGATTCTTATCCAAATGCATCCCCTGGCTTATTTACCTTCACTACCTCTATAGACAGGTGTGGTGATTCTGGAGAATATCTGCTGAGCAGATGCTGCTGTGTAGCAAATTGCCTTGGATGGAGGGGATAACAATTCACCTGCCCTCTGACTCCATCACACCTGTGCTGCATGCCAGAAAGTGAGAAGCTGCCAGTGGAAAACTTACTCTGGATGTTGAGGCATATATCTTTGCTGCTGAAAGAGCCACAAGGGAACACATTGAAGATGCATCTGTAACAGGACACATCCTCAAATGTGAGATTTTGCAGAGTGATGGCTGAGGTGTTCAGGGCTGCTCTAATGAAACGTGCTTTCCTCCGAAATGATCCTATCAGTCGCAGCCCATGGGCTTGGCTGTAAGTGGCTATGTTCTGGAAGGAAGATCCATTTATCTTCTGCCAAGTGACTTGTAAGACATCCATTGGGAGTAAGAACTTGCAAGAGAAATTTGCCTCTTCACCGAGGCTTGCTTCAGTAATGCTTTCACATTTCACTGCTTCCTCCAAACCTAGAAACAAACCAGAACACAAAATCAGAGGGAGAGCAAAAACACAATTTACCTGGGAAAAGTTGTAGTCCCTTGAATCATCCTATCTTGCAGAGTGCTGAAACTCCAATGAGAGTCCACAAAGGCCTGCTTGGAGATTCTTGGAAACCTTTGTTTGCAAGTGGCCATCACTTGATTAGTCTATGGTGTGCATTTCTTAGCCACGAAGCAATGCTTTGGTGAGGAGAAAAAGATATGGGATCAACTGATGGGAAGATGTACCAGTGAGCCCTGCCATACATAGCCCTGAACCTGGGGTTCAGCAGCAAATTAACATGAGTGAACAGTATACTCTGGCAGCCAAGAAGGCCAACTGTACCCTGGAGTGCATCAGGATGTGTGGCCTCACCTAGAGCATTGCATGCAACTATGGGTGCCAGAATGTAGGAAGGGCTTAAAACTAATAGATAGTGTCCAAAGGAAGGCTAAAAAGATGGTGAAGGGTCAGGAGGGCAAGACATATGAGGAGTGCATGAGGGCACAGCCTCAAGCTGCCGGAGTTCATGAAGCATTTGGACACTCCTCTCAGACAAAGGGTTTGGATTTGGGGTGGTCCTGTGTGGAGCCAAATGTTAGACTCAATGATTCTTATGGGTCCCTTTCAACTCAGGATATTCTATGATTCTATGCATTTGGGTTTCCTTATTCATGCATTTTGGGCAAGGTGTCTGAGAAAAAAAAACAACAAGAAGTTGAGACCTGAGTCATCTATTCACTCCCCGTGTGTGGTCCCTATATGCAGCCCCAGACATTTAGGGCCACCACCCACCCTGAAGCTGGGCATGAGACAGAGGTGCTATCCCTCCTGCCTCAGCCACCTCCCTGCCCACATCCCACTGCTGTCAAAATAATCCCCCTTTGCTCCAAACAGCTCTGGGGTGTCCTGTAAAGCCCCAGCAAAACAGCTCTTGTTCCAGAGAACATCCCCGTGCCCCCCCACGTTGGCATCTATGAAAGGGCAGGGAGTGGCCCATAGCCAGGAGACTATCCTCCCCGCCCCAGCCTGTCCCAAAAGAAACATGCATTGCTCAGAGACATGAATTGGAAATGCAAGGCCGTGGAGCTAAGGAGTTCAGCTTAGCCCCAGAGCTGCTCTGTGTGCCCAGGAAGGCTGCTCATGCTCCAGAAAGCCTCTATGGGGAAAGGGCATTCCTACTCACCCCTGGCAGCCTCCAGCCAGCAGCTCTGGAAAAGCAGCAGCAGGCAGAGCAACAGAAGCATTGTGGGGCTGTGTGTATCCCAAAGCTTGCTACTTCTCCCACAACTGTGGAAGGAAGGCTGGCCTTTGGCTTTTGCGCCTTTTTTCAAAAGTCTCCCAGGAGACCAATCAGACTTTCACTTCCTTCCTACTACCTTGTCAATCATTAATTAATCCTACTCCTGCTGCTCACTGCAGGAGTCATGCTACACAGATTTATTCCCTGGACTGCAAGGGCTCCCAGGCTTGGAAATAACCAAAAACCCCTAAAAATAGAGCAGGAATGCTTGGGGTTCCTTGCAGGCCACCTTAGTAAGTTCAGCTCTGAGTGCCATCAAAGGGCTCATGCCTTGCCAGGTGTAACTCTTCTGAGTAAATGCAGGTGGCTGGTGGCCTGAGGGAGAAGAAAAGAAGGTACCAGCAGCTCCCAGTTTTTCTCTGCTCTGGGAAGAAGTTTTGAGAGGCACTACACGTGGATCATTGCCCAGCAGCTCACTGAGTACCATGCTGGGAGCCAACCCCATGGTGCCCAGAGAGATCACCCTAGTGCCACTCATCCAGCAGCAAGGACTCACCAGCAAGAAAAGGAGTTGGATGCTCCTCCACCACAGAGACAGCATAGAGACATCCAGAAACTCCACTGCTTCACTCCAACCTGCAAACCAAATCCAAGAACACAAGCTGCATTATAAAAGGTGTCTGCAGAGGGCAGGTTTGGCTGAAGATTCCCCTCCCCAAGCGTGTCTGTATCCAATGCAGTTCCAGAAACCTAAAGCCAGCACTACGATAGGGTGTTGTGCTTGGGGACCAGTGTGCAAGGATTTCATTGTCCAGCCTCACAGCTTTTAGCCACACAGTAACGCAGCAGTGAGACCAAGCACCATGCTGGTTTCTGGTTGTATTTGCAGAAGAGTGCCCTCTGTGCTTGATGAATTTGCTCTGGATTTGCCTTTATGACAGAGAAAAGCCTATCTCACAAGAGTATCTTTATGCAAAGCAGTTACTATACAATTTCTGTCTGTGTTCATCTCTGCTATTTATGAACTCAGCGCTTCCCTTCATCAGGAGGGTCAGTATCATGTCCCACAGGCAGCTGAACACTTGCACAGGGCTTTTCTTAGTTCATACTTTCATGGTGAGGCTCCCAGAACCTGTTGGCAGCAGTATGCGGGGTCTGGGTGTGTGTGTGTAAATCTTCATGTTAGTTTCTGTGCGAGAGAGGCACTTGGCCCCAACTATCTTCAATTCTGACGCCATTTCTCCCCTTCAATCTCATTTTCCAGGAAGCAAAGTGGAAATTTTATTTTAGCAACAATTTCATTCCTGAACACCACTGTTGTTTTTTTTCCCTGACATTGTTTTTGAGATCCCCTTCCCTCCTACTTTTATTTTACATAATTCCTGAACTATGTACATACAAAGAAAGAGGCTAGCTTTCCCTTCCTAAGCATTTAGCAAAGGCTCTGAGTAATGCAGCTCTCTGGTTTAAAACAACCACCATGGAGGACTACTTCTAGGCAGACCTTGCAGCTTTCAACTTTTAGATAAGGCAGTATGTTTGGATTGTTAAGAAATGCAGAGCCTGACCTTAATTAATTCTTCTTTAAAAAATATAAAAATAAAAAAATAAAGAAAAAAAGAAAAAAAAAAAAGAGGAAGAAAGTCTGCAGAACTGCCTTAAAATTAAATTGAAAGGAACACTTGCTGGGGGTCAGTCTCATTTTCAGGCTTTAGTCTTTCTCTTTCAACTTATGCCACAAAGGAGAATGACTAGCAAAGGGAAAGGCAGGTGATCAGCAGGTTTTTTTTTTAAAACAACATTTTCTCCCCTTCCCTGTTGGTTCACATTTTTGCCCAGAGGTGCTATGCTTCTGGTCCCAGCCTGGAGAAGTGGCCAGGGACCATCTCCTTAGGGCCATCACCATTTCATAAGTTCCCTTATGCAGTTGCCACAGTTGTTTGCTAACAACTGGCACAGGATTGGGGCTTGGATTGGGGTTGGCTCCTTGTGTCCTGGGGTGTTGACACAGGAACACAATGTTAGAGTTCTTCCCAGCTCAGCCAGCTCCTGGAAGGGAGAAGGAAAGCAAAGAAAAGGTGCTGGAGACAAGAAGGCAGCATCTTCAAAGGTCAGATGAGTAGGGATATCAGGGAGAGGAATCAGCCATGAACATACTTGGAAAAAACAGCTAGAAGTTAGAGGGTCCTCAGACCTTCTCACTTGCCTTTCAGGAGAACAGTCATCAGAACAACTGATGTTGTTTCCTGGTGAATTCTGGTTTCATTTTTTTCCCCTATGGTGGCCTCAAAATCCATCTCTGTCAGATCCACAGTTGGGTGATACAATCATGAACCTAAGACTGAAGAGTTATTACTACACAGTCACCACACGTGCCTTTTGCTGGGCCAGGTCCCACCAGAGAACACAGCTTCATCCTTCCTTCAGGCTGGGACATCGTTATGTATGATCCAGCCTCAGTCCCCTTCATTCTGCATCTTACTCAGAAGGCTTCTACCCTAGAGGAGCCTGCAGAGAGCTCAGCACTTTCTGCTGACAGTCAGGTCTTGGCTTATCCCTGCAGCCCAAGACCTGGAATCCCTTTTCCAATGATCTTGACATGGCCAGAAATCTTTACAGTAAAGATATCTGTTTCTTAGGAAGAACTGCTGAAGATACATGGAGAAATACTGAACCACTGAGTTGAAAATGGCCACATTGCCTCTATTCACAAATTCTTTCTAGAAAGGACACAACCCTCAAAACGTTTTCGTTTTATATCCTCAAAACGAAATAGTTCTGAACTTGATATGCAAAGTTCTTAAAACATTATTGGATTTTCCCTTTTCTCATCTTTGTGTATGTGTATATGGGTTCTGATATTTAGAAATAAACCTATGGCAAACAAATGTCTTAATTTTCCCCTGTCCGATGGAAAGGTGAAAAAACTCATTTATGAAACTGGCTGTATTTCTGTAGAACTGTAGCTTTATTTCTGTAGATAGTTCCTTGACGCCTCTGTGGCAAATGTTAGTTTCTTTAAGCTTAAATTATAACACTGGGTATTTACAGAATTTTCAGCATCCCGTCATAATCTGTTTGAAGGATAATATCAAATAAAATATTCAAATTAAAAGAAACGTTTTAACTTTTAGTCTAAATGTGTTTGTTTGTTTTTTTTTTCGTTTCCCACTCCCTTCCCCCTCCCTCCCCAGTTTTTCCTCGCATCTTAATTTTTGTATGTGATCTCTGGTACACTTCTACTAGACAAGCCGTTTTTTCTTCCCCTTTCTTGAGGATGATTCATCCTAAAAATTGCAGTTCGGGAAGTTGTAATGATGTTTGTGCTGTACAGGGGTCTTAGACTGAGGATTCTCTCAGTCTTCCCAGAAACTTCATGTGGATCTTTTACCCAAAGCTGAACAGACCACAGCACAGTCTGTCTGCTTGGATAAGAGTTGAGTGCCTCTTTCACACACAGCTTTATGTAAGCAAAGATGAAAGCTGTGAAGATATGAGGAAGTCTTTTGTATGGCTTCCAAAGTTCGAGTGATTTCTGGTATCCTAAGAGTGAAAACAAAAGTATGTCTGACTTTTATCTGTCTGGTTTGATAGCCTCTTTATGAAAAAGAAAATGCACTCATTTAAGGCAATTCTCTCATTTCAGTGGGTTTACTGTTGCCCAGTGCTGAAAAAGGAGTGAACAACAATAGGCTATATTTTTTTCCAAGTATGAATTCATAAGAAAATTCCCTGATGCGATATTTAGTTGATGAATAATTCCTCAGGGTCATCACAGAATAATGAAATGATGAATGGTGCTTTCAGACTTCATTCGCCAAAACAAAGTTCCCTTTCACTGCATGGATTTAGTTCCATGTCTCTGCCAGTAGTGGTTTTGATAGAATAATATTCTTCCTGCTTCAGCCATGACTTGTCAAATGTTTGAGGGCAGCACTTCAGCTACATTTCAAAGTCACATCCTCAGTCCTTATGCGTTACTGCTCTGGTGGAGTCAGGAACCAGCACCCAGAGAGAAAAAACACCAGTGCAGGCAGATCCCTGCAGCAACCCACCATGCCAAAGCATAAACATGGGCAAGCTGCACAAACTTAGAATTCTTTTTTATATACTGATACAATAAGTTCAAAAAGCATAGCTTCACATCTTATTCAAGGACTGTATCTAGACACAAGTGTATATTATATTATGGTGATAGCGGAACACGTTGTGCTCATTCATCATGCTTTGCACTACGTCACCAAACTCTTGTCAGGGCTCTTGTAGTTTAAAAGTTGAACAATAACTGTTTTCCCTTTTTCCCCACCCCTGATATGGTGAGGCATTGGCACAGGCTGCCCAAGGAGGTAAGGAGTCCCTGGAGGTGTTCAAGAATGTGTAGATGTGGCACTGCGGGACATGGTTAGTGGGCATAAGGTGATGACTGGTCAACGGTTGCACTAGATGATGTTAGTGGTCTTTTCCAACCTAAATGATACTATGATTTTTATATTCCAATGAACTACCAGTACACCAATATGCCATAGGATTTTCTCTGGTTTGACTTGACTGTATTTTCCAGGTGAATAAAAAATCCTATTGCACCCTTCCCTAAAAATCAAAGTCCCAGAGAAAAAGGCAACCCTATTTGTATGGTCCAATTCACAAAAAGCAAAGGAAAACAAAACAAAATAGAAACACACACAAAAAAACTCCCAAAACCTCTGTGAGACGTAATGCAAGACAAAGTTCTACAGGGAGTACGTGCTTCAGGCTCAATTACAGCCTATCAGCTGTCAGCAAAGCTATGTTAGAATTGTCCTTATCTTCATTTCCTCCAGCTCAGTCATCTCCTCTGTAACCAAACCCATTGTGAGGCCCTGCAGCAAGGGGGAATTTTGGTCAATGTATGGATGCATGCTGTAACTATACTTTTACCTATGCTGTGGGGGATTTCAGTGGTGGTAAAACTAACCTGGGACATTCCTGTACACTATGTTTTCACTTACTTTCAAAGCTAAGCTGCTCCACATTGCTTCCATGGAGCAGAAATATAGAGCAGTTCATTCTGCTTCAAGTTCTGATGAGCTTTATTTTTGTTTCTCTAAACCAATTGAAATTTGCAGCATTTCATACTCAACATGCTGTTTGTTAAAACAAATACTAAAGATATGAATAAACCTGTCTGAAGTGCTGGAGTTTTACTACCAAATTGTTCACACAGATAACTTGACAAACGACATAAGCACAAGATAATCGTAAAGAAACCTCAGAACAACAGTTAGGATATTATTCACCCACAGTAAAACCTTCATCCCCCCAGTCACATGCTTGTTTGTTCTCACAAAGGTGGTTTCTATCTATTTTATACTCCTTTCCACATCTGACAGCTGGTTCATTGTACATAGCTGGATGCCTGTATTTAGCTCTTTGCTACATGAAGCCAAACACAATAGCAGTAGTATACAAGTAGTATACAGTATTTTATGGTGCTGTATTTCAGCTGATGGATTTGTATATAATGAAGGCAAATATGCACACTGGTTTTAAATGCTCTACCTTTGGACATCGTTTTGCTGTTCTCATCCCAATGCTGTAAAAAACAAATAGATGAATAACATGGGTTTTTTTTTTCCACAGTATTATGCTGCCATGTCCTCCCTTTTCATTCAGCCTCTAGTTCTGTTGCAGAAACATACAAAAGCCCTTCACAGTTCAACATTCAGCAAAAGAGCAAAAGTCAGAAACACACATAAGCAGGCCTTTTCTTTACTTCAAACTCTGTTTTTTCCCATTCTAGATCAACTTGTAAAAAAACAAAAACATATTTCTACAATTTCCATATGCTTAATAAGGATTCAAGAAATCCTTTGTGCTTTTTCATCATCTTTCTGAATTTTTTTTTTATTCCCATGTCCAGACTCCCCATTTCTGCAGACGACTTTTCTCTTTTTTTCTCTTCATTTTATTAAAAAGAGAGAGAGAGAGAGAGAGAGAGAAAGAAAGAAAGAAAGAAAGAAAGAAAGAAAGAAAGAAAGAAAGAAAGAAAGAAAGAAAGAAAGAAAGAAAGAAAGAAAAGCCCAGTAGTCCAAATATTTGTAGTATCTTCTCTTAAAAACAACCTTAACAATTCTTAGAAAAAAACAACCAAACACCCGAAGGCCAAGTGTGGACCCTATTGAGCAGAGAGATCTGACATGACACAGCCCAAGAACCCTGGAGCAGTGTTCCTTTGCATGCAACCCATTGGATACAAAATACTCCATTGGAAGGTCTGCTTCACTCCCTTGCCCCTTCCCATACAGGTGTGGAGGAAACTTAAATTGCAGTTGTGGGGAAGTTTGGAAAAAATCAGGTTTCCTTCTTTGACAGTTACGGGGCTCAAGAGAAAAATTCCCAATTGCAAGAGTTGCTGGTATGTAGCTGGTTCCCCTTTCCTTGCAATCATCAGATCACTATTACTAAGCATTAGGGATTCTATAAAAGCTTTTTATGACAAGAAGTGGGTTTATTCATTCTCAGCTCACCCACTCTCTTTCATTTCACTTGACTCAGCTTTTCGGCCTCCACACAACCTGCTTCATCCGGGAAGTACACATGAATTAGATGTGCAAGGGAAAACCAGATAGCATACACTTGCTGCATGGAGCCAGGAGGACAGGAGTAAAGGGAGGGCTGCTCTGCCCAATACTCTTCCAAACACTCCTTAAATTCCCCCACCTCTTCACCTCTTCCCCCCAGGCAGGTGTGATTATGTGGAAACAGGAGGCAACTGTGTTAGATTAAATGAAAAATTGGCTGTGGAAACCATTGAAGGAGAAGGAAACTTCTCTTTGCCTTTAAATAACTTTCTAGGAAAGGGTGGTAACTTCCTGGTGTCTGATGGCTTGGAGTCTGCCGCCAGGGTTACAAGTCTGATCCAGCTGCAGACATGCTCCATCTCCCATGCCCGCTGGGGAGAAGGTTCCTGGCAGCTCTCAGTAATGTCAGAAATTCCACACACTTGCTGCTTCCCTCTACCCGAAGCAGAATCTCCTAAATCACTGCTCCACAAAATACCACACTGCCTCAGAAAACCCTCAATCTGCTTGGAGCCTGGGATGTTGAAATATGGGAAAAGAATAAATACAGCATAGAAAATGCCAACCACAAGTTGCATTACAGACCCACACAGCCAACAGTCTTAGAGTCTTAAATAAATAATTCACAGCTTTTCTTCTACAAAACGGAATGAAATTATCTAAGAAAATAAATATGTATTATAAAATGTTCTTTTTTCCCCCCTCTATTTCCTTTGGTGTGATGTCACAGCAGGTCTACATGACAGTCCAAGATGTCCACGTGTAGGGCATGCAGGAGCTCACGTGTTGGGCACTGCAGCTGTAGCCTGCTTGCCAGTAAACATGTACTGTCCACATGCTCTCTCCTTGGCACATACAGCAAGGACCTAGCAGAAGAGATGTTTTATTTCACTTTTTTGAAAAACATATGTATGTCTTAAGTGCAGGGGTTCAGACTTGGGCTGCCTGCATTACCAAATAGTGCTTTGTGTCTGTCAGTGCTCAAACACAGTAGACAGAGCCTTTCCCCTTGCAACCCCTTTAGTAGACCTCAGCTTGGATTTAGAAAAATAGCATCAGTGGAAGAAATGCATTGTACTTCCTGCCACTGCCTTATTTTTTCTCCACATCATTAATTAAAGGCAAAGGTGCATGCCTCAGGCGTATTCTGTAGAGAGGCTGAGGAGCCTTCAGCACAAAATAGTACTTAGTCACGTGGCATCCAACTGGGTCTGTTCCTGTTTTGAACTTGCATCCTTCACAGAACCCTGTAAGCTCACATGTGGCTGCGTTTCCCATCCTGAGCAATGCACTGTGGCATGCTCCTCTTCCAGAGCCCCCCTCGTGTTCAAGAAACATCCTTGAAAGCATGGCCTAGCCAAGCAGAAGAGTGGTATAAGGGTATGGTTGCCATCTGAACTTTGCTGTTCCTCAGCGAGGGAACACAGACCTACCCAGCAAGGCCAGGCTGGGTTTCTCTCTGGATCATGAAGGTGTCTCAGGCAGCAGCAAAGGAGCAACACGAAGAGGAGAAGGAACATCAGAGAGACCAGCACCCCCACAACAATGGCCATGGTTGGTGCCATGATACTGTCCTGACCTGTGGGAAAAGTAGCAGGTGTTCAAGCAGGCTTGTTCATGAAGAAAGAACACCCAAACCCATTTTGGACATCCCTTGGCTGATCCCCTGGGTCAGAGGAGGTAAAGAGGCATATGCAAGCATACATACAAGCAGTAAAACTAACAGACCTGTTTTTGGGGTCTGGTGGCCCAGAGACATACCACAGCATCCCAAATGGATGCCAAATGCCTGCATCATTGCCTAGGATGTCTGGCTGTTCCCCAGCACCTTCTCCTGTCCCTCCCCATCCCAGCTGCTCTTCATGGTGCCTTTCCCACCTGCCCTCCAGCCCTTAGAGGCTGATTTAGCCCAGGAGGTGTTACCATGTCTTTTATTCCAGGGAAGGAGTCAGGTTGCATACTGACCTTGTGTCAGACTGTCCATGGGCAGGGACAGGGTCACATTTAGAGACGGGTGCTGGATCACACAGGCAATGGGGTAGTCCTTGAGGATTTTGGAGTGGGCATGGGTGAAGTTGCTGATGACAGTGATGGTCTGGTTGCTGAGGTGGATGTGGTACTCCTTTGGTTTCTGCAGTAGGGTGCTGGGAAGGTGCCAGGTGATTTTTGGAGCTGGCTTCCCTGTTGCTGAGCAGCTCATCCCCACCACTACCTCAGAGACTTCACCTTTGTCAGGACTGGGTATAAGCTTGGCTTCCACTTTGGGGTCTGAGATGGCTGTAAAACATAAAGTAGAAAAATCACTTGAGTTAAGAACACTTGGATTTACTGTTATCTTAGAATCACAGAATACCCCAAGCTGGAAGGGACTTGCAGCTCCATGCCGTTCCCTCGGGCCCTGTCGCTGTCACTCAGAGCAGAGCTCAGCGCTGTCCCTCCGCTCCCTGTGAGGAGCTGCAGCCGCCATCAGGCCTCCCCTCAGCTCCTCTGCTCTGTGCCAAACAAGGGAGAGCCAGGGACCTCAGCCAATCCTCATATACAATGCCCTCTAGATCCTTCACCATCTTTACAGCTCTCCTTAGGATCCTCTCTAATAGTTTTATCTTATTTTTTATATTGTGGTGCCTGAAACTGCACACAGTTCTTTATGAAAACGAAGAGGTTGGCAAAATCAGAGGACAAGAGGGTAGAAATGCACAGCTTTCAAATTCACTACTAAAAGCAGCCCTACTGATGAGTGGTAATGACGGACGAGTGAAAACAACAGACAGTGGAACTGTGAAACCATGTCCTCCTCTCTTCAAAAAGGTTGAACTGCTTCAGTGACTCAAAGCACTTGCTCTTATTCCTTAAGCTCATCTGCAAGGTTTGTTTTATTGCTTTTTAAGACATGCAAACTTGAGCACTTAGGGACTAAATGCATCTATTTATGCAAGACAGTAACTGAATGTGTATGAAGTGACACCACAGGATTTCAGATGTGAAGGCTTTGTATTTATACATCTTTTCTTTCCCCTAATGTCAAATTTTGGGGTGTCATAGTAACCTCCAAAAGTTTTCTTAAAGATTGGTTTTCCAAATTCCTCCACACACTACAAGATTTGTAGCTGCAGTCTTATTTAGTCTTAGACAGCAGATGCAATGAACCTCTCACCACTGACACATATTCACGTGAAACCTGCTTGTTGATTCCTATTTATATTTGCAGTATTTTCAGGAAATAAAGAAATGGGAGAAGTGCAAGAAGCTTTCTTCAACTTGGATAGAACTCCAGGGAAGATCTGAACACCTGAGGACACATGTCCCTGGACAAGATGATTTGTTTTCAAGAAAGCAGAAGAAAACGCAGAGATGATGAGCTCTTCTCCATTGTATGAGGTAGGAAAACCAAGGTGTTTGGTCCTGGAGGGAAATCTTTTGGAGTTTAACACTACAAACTCATTAGCAGGCAACAGGATGATTGTCAGAGTATCCAAACCTTGCACTGGCCAAATGGCCAAACTGAAATTTTTGTGTTGAAAATTAAGCAAGTGGCTGGATTTTCATGAGAACTGAATAGCTGCTATTCACTACTACCACAAGTGGATGCACTTTGTATCTGTGAAAATCAATCAAATCATAAAATCATAGAATATCTGGGTTGCAAAGGACCTCTGAAAGTCACCTAGTCCAAGCTCCTCCTCAAACCAATCAGTTAAACTCAGACTGTCATGCCAAGACTTATAAAGGCATATAACTCCATTTGGGAGTTAGATCTCCCAATACACAAGTTTCCAGAGAACAGTTCATCAGCCTGGCCTCTACCAGCATGTGCTGGTAGTACAGGGGTCCAAATCATACTCTACTTCCAGGTGTCTGCTTCTGATAATTTTGCCTTTTAAAATAATTTAAGTGCAGTGGCATTTCTGGTTTTGTTCAAGTTTGAGTTAATATGAATGCCTTCTGATTTAAAAAGTGTCTAAGAAATAGTACTATTTAATAGTACTAGATGCATATATTACTATTTTACATAGCAAAAAAACCCAATCAGAACAATATTTATGCTGAAATTGATTTTTGCCAAAACTTCAGCAAACAAATAACTATTTTTTAGTAATCCTGGTTTTAAGCAGCAAATTTTGTTTAGTCTTACTAAGAAAAATGATTTTATGTTTCATTTTGGGGCATAAAACAAGGTTTCTGTATGAATGATATATAAAGGACACCAAATGTTTCTGTTAAAGGGGGTTAACAGCACATGCCAGCTGCATAGCAGCACCTATGCCTCTGGTAAAATCCTACATGCACCTCATGAAACTGGATCTTCCAAGCCATAACAGCCACTAAGACATTTTACATAATCATGTTTTGTTTTCCTATGGCTTTGCCTCACTATTTACTATGGTTATGCTGCTTAAAAGAATAAAATAGATATTTCTCAGTGTTTGCATCACCCTCTGATAGAAATTCAGACCCTAGAAACAGAGCTGATAAAACCCCATTTGTGTTGCTCTGAGAGCTAAAAAAAAAAAAAGGCTTAGGGGGATTTCAGTTGGAACTTCTCAAAATCTCCCATCTTTGAAATGACAAGTGTCATAAACACTTTATGTTTTGATTAATAAATGGTTTCTGAACTTCTTCTTTCACTCACGGGATGTATAAAAATAGCACATCCACCCACAGTGCTAACTTCAAACATTAGGTTATGATGTCCAAAAGCAGTAAAGGAAAACTGCCACACACTCTTCTCTTTACCGGAGAGCCTGTTTTAAAAAGCACAGAAGGCAGATTGGTGCCACTGCTCCAGTCTGGCAATCTCTTAAAATCTTAACCAATTACAAAAGATTAAGGTGAATCTTGGCTTATAAAGGCACACAGAGGAGAAGAGAAAAAATGCTCAGCATCACATCTTGGCAGACATACATGTATGCCAAATCCATTCTCCTCACTAGACAGTTCTCTGCCTTCCCACACTGGAATCCAGGGAATTATTTGTAGGCAAGAAAAACACAGGACAGTTGCTCTTTGCCTTACCATATGTCTGTAGAAGATACACAGTCAAAATATGCGAGCACTTTCTCTTGCACGTGCTATTTGTTAACATGTGCACTGAGTTGGTGTTTGATGCACGTTTAGAGTAACTGCTGGTTTCCTATTTCATCAAAATATTTATTTCATGTGAAAAACTACTTACAAGACATGTTGTACCTGACTTCATAGGCCCTTCAGAGCAGCAATGTAAACATTTCCAGGCTTGAGCTGTGAAGGTGCTCCTAACTATTGGAAAAGGTGGCTTTCTAGTGAATGTGTGCCAGCTTTGACTGCAATTGGGCTTCTGTTATTTAAGGGCAACTGCTAGATCATGATGTGCTTGTAATATTTCAAGGCTGAACTTTGGTCTCAAATTAACGGCTGAACATTTTTAGGAATTAGTGTGTCTCATGTGCCTTTTCCAGCCATGTGGATGCTCGTCAGCAACGCAGCCTCAGCTTCCTGATCTGAGTCAACAGTGTCATGGCTTTCTCCATGGTGCTGGAGACTTCCATGTGGATGGGGCCATCTACTTGCAGGCAGAAGGTGTCTGTAGGTCGTCAACCCAGCAAAACCTTGCCTAGACTCAAGTGACACATGCCCCTCTCTCCATACTCCAAACTCTACCCCTTTCTGGGTTCCATTTTCATCATCTTTTGAAACAAAAGTCAGCAAAACATTTCTAGTGGAAAATGGAGGTGAAAGAAGAACAGGCACTAAAGAAACCTGCAAAGCAGGCTGAAAATACTCTGTGCCAAGACATCATTTGTTATGGGATAGAAGACTGCTGCTGCTTCACATTGTTATTTTCAGCTAAATAGGTCTGAGATTTCTGTCTCCCATACCTATTTCATTTTTCCCAGCATCACTTCTGGTTCTTACCAAGGTTTCACTTCATCACACTATGTAGCACTGTGTCCATTCTGGAATAGCCTCTTCTGCTGAAGGCTGATGTAACAGAGCAATAATCACCCTGTAAACTCCCTGGCTGTCCCTGTCAGATGGCAGACACATGCCAGCAGCTCATTTGCTTCAAGTGCTGCCACTAGTCAGCTTGCTTACTTTGCCTGCGATCCCCTTGCCCCTGGACATTTCTGCCATCTTCTCCCTCCCAGCCTGCAGAAAGGCTTGGCTGGGAAATCAAGGAAATTAAGAGCATCTCAAATGTGTTACTGCAGTTAGGTTAAAACGAACCCTTTCTGCGAGCACTTAGTTGGTTATGTACTCACTCTAGCACTGGGGCAGCATGCTGCCAGCTGCCAGGGAAGTGAAACCCCTAGCTGACGTGTCTTTGAGAGAAGCAGGTAGAGCTGCTGACAAAAGTACATTGAGCAGAAAAAAAAAGAAAAAAAGAAAAAAAGAAAAAATGGAAAAAAAAAAAAACCACCCAGCTTTTGTTGCTTTTGTTTTCATGCCTTGAGCTCTGCTAAGAGGTGGATCATAGCCACAAAACTGGTAATTTTGGGAATCATTTCCCACACTTGGATAAAAAACAGACAGAATAAATCAAAGCCAATTTAACTCCATGTTTAGATTCTCATAGTAAGCAAGAATGAAATCTCTCTGCTAGGCTCTTCCATATATTCCTGTAATGCATGATTCAGCATTTACCATCTGTGTGACTCAGCATCAAGTGATCTGCTCTAGGAGCTTTATCAGAAGAGAGGAAAGAAAGACTTCTGCTTCAGATCTGTTTTTCCCCCACGTTTCCCCTTCTCTTTCCCCTGTTGCTTATGTCATCATTCCTCATAAGCCAAGGTTGTCTGTTTCTTCCTCCAGCACAAGGTTCCTTGTGTGTGAGGATGCTTGTGGCTGCATGCTTTGGCTCTCTCTTTGAAACACGCTGATGCTGACCTGTACAAGATTCAGGTCAACAGGGGGACATGTGGGGACAGCCGCCAACCCAGTATTGGGCCAGAGGAACTCCAGAGAAGCAGTAGGGCACCTGTCAGCTGCTGTTGACTTAAAAGGGAAGAAAATTGGAGAAGTGTTCAACAGTGCCTTCCCATCAGAAGTAAAAATGACAAGGAAGGCAGAGCCAGGGAAGAAACAGAGCCACCTTTCCCACAGAGATTTAGCAATGAGCACTGACCAGGGAAGGTTTTCCCCAGAGAGAATGGCTTGATCCTCAGAAAGATGTCATACCCTTTCTGCAATTAGAGTGTCTTACCGTAAACCTTGAGGCACATCCTGCCAGTGACAGCTCCCGAGGGAAAGGTGTTGAAGATGCACTTGTAGCATCCTTCATCTTGCAGGGTGACTCGGTGAAGGGAGATGGCTGAGGCTTGCAGGTCGCTGTGGGCAAAGCTCACATGGCCATAGTAGCTCTTTGCTATCTTTTGGCCATTCATTGTACTGTAAGTTGCTATGTTGTCTTCAGCCCCATCCATTTCCTTCTGCCAGGTCACTTGTATTATGTCTTCGTTCGTGACTGACTGGCATGAGAAAGTAATATTTCCGCCTGCCTGGACCGACTGCACCTTTTTGTGCATCACCTGCACAGAGCCTGCTGAAGAAGCAGGGACCACATTTAGCATCTTCCACTCTCCCACTGCAGCCCACCCCAGCACATGTTTTGCGTCCCAGTCGTCACCCTTGGAGGGCTTCCCTGTCTGTGCTACCAGACCAAAACCAAAAACACAACTTAAAGGAGTTTCCACAGGAATTTGGCTGAAGGTGGCACCTCTCACACCGCTTCCTATGAAACATTTCAGCAGCTCTTTACCTGTGCTGTGATTAGGGATCTTCAGGGAGAAGGGAAAAATAATCACTCCTCTTCCAATTCACTGCCACATAGGGAAAAAAAATACAAAGGGACAGGCAAGTGCCTAAATGTCTCCAGGTTTAACAGCCCAGACCCAAAGTTCTTTGGTTCACAGGATGATAGCTCTTAAAATTTATCTGCACAGATCTCTCTGTGGTGTGTTGGAAGGGAGATAGCACCAGAAACACTTACAGCACTGAAAATGTATTCCATTTGCAGGAACCTGAAGTATTGTTTTTAAAGAGGAGTGAGGCTGTCTGCAGTGCCTTAAGTCCACCTCGATCATATCTACACCTCCTGGCATGTCTTATCCAGGCGGAGATGTGCAGAACACCCAGTAGCTAGCCATGAGCCAGTAGGTATTTTGCAGTTCAGACCTCAGCAGAGCAGAATAGGGCAGAATACAAGCCACGGCCATGAAAATTATTTGAGGACAAATTCAGGCTTTAGTAAATATGAAAAGAAATGTAACATGCCCACAGTTCTAATGATCTGAACTTCTAATTGTCCAAAAGTACCATGTTACAGATCAGATACAGAAAAGTATCATTCTTACAGATAACTCTGTCCTGGCTAAAGAAAATTAGTGCCATACCCTGGCTCCAGTCTCATCTAAATCAGGAGTTGAAATCCAGTTTTAGTTCTGTGGGTCACTGGTTTATGATGCAGAATTTGTAAACAAAGCCATACATTAGCTTCCAAACACACTGACAACAAATCAATGAACAGATGCTGCCTTTGTCCCCTGAAGAATTCTGCATCATCACAATGATTAAGAAGGGAGGAGAGAGTGGGAGATTACCTGAGGTGAGGGCCCAGAGGCTGGAGAGGAGCAGGCAAGTGGCCATCATCCCAGCTGCGTCCCCAGGACCAACGAGCGACCGACTGATCCATTGCACCACGGCTTCCCCTTTTTTATGCTTTTGCTCTCTCTCTGGGGACATTCCGCTGTCTCTGCAAATACGGTAAGAGGTGCCTCATAAACTGTTCTTGGTCCACGTGCACTCAGCTGAATAACAAAAATTCTGACAAGTGTCAGAGCTGGAAATCTAGGTTTCCCAGTCAGACCACCAGAGAGGCAGGGTTTACAAGGCTGGGTTTTTCAGAAGCACCTTACTTATGAGGTTTTGTCAAGGGCTTAAACTAAAGCCCAGGTCTCTACCTTGGCTACGTGTCTGGGAGACAGCTGGGTGGTCCTGGAGCCAGCACCAAATGTGAAGTAGGAGGAATGACCACTCCAGGAGGAACAGCCATCCTGGAAGGAATGGCCACTCCAGGAGGAATAGCAGCCTGGGGTCTGCATGTGCACTGGAGCACCAGGAGCTGCTGGTGCCTCAAGGCCTCAGCCAGGCCAGGAGCCCAGGAAGGTCCAGGCACAGGTTGAGGTGGCTCACCGAGCTGCTCTGAGTCACTGTGTTTGTGCCATTTTTGCTTTGTCATGTCTATCTCTGTGCTTCTTTTTTTCACAGCTGGGATCATGTTTCCGAAACCAATACAAATCTTGTCCCATGGGTCACTTCTGCACCCTTCATCAAATCACTCAGTGAGACCTCATTTGCTAATCAAACTGTTACTGGCACGCTCAGTCTCAAGTTTCTGTTTTCCGATTAGGTGGCTTATGTATTTGCAAATGATGATGACACTGACAACTCTGATAACTGTGACTGCATTAGAAATGTTTTTGTTTATCATTTATCTGAATTGCCGCACGGACTAGCCTTCAATCATGTGAGTGGCTTGGGGAAAACCAAAAGGTCCAAGCCACAACACAACAGAAACTTCTGAGGCATGTTTACACGCATAGTTCCTCCTTTCAAGTGGTAATTAATTACCTTAAAAAAAACAATAACTGGAGTTTTGGTATTCCTGTTACGCTTAAGAAACATTTTGGACGCACTTTTGAGTAGGCACAGTGATTCATTCATTTCATTCTGCAAACTGGGACTGCCTCACACTATAGTCTTCCTCCTTTGAGGTATATCACTTTGTTTTTCTTTCCTAGAGTTATTTCCATTGTCTTATTCTACCTCAGTATTTCTGGAAGGGCATTCTGATCTAATCAAATGAAGCAAGAACATGAAATCTGTGAAATATGTTTCCTGTGAAGTTTTCCAGACCATTCTACAGCTATTGTACAGGAAATAGCTCCATTGAGATATGAAGCAAGACCCTGGACCATGTCAGAGGGGTAAACTGACAGCTTTGAAATGGAGACCTCCAATTGACAAACAAATACGTAATTTCTGATTTTCACCTTCAGAAGCTTCAAAACTGAAAAACACTGAAGATTTACTGGAACTATATTCTTTTGCATCAAAGCCTCCTGGCAGGATGAGAGTGATCTCTATAGGGATGTGGAGATGCTCTCCAGGCTTTGCTGGTGTACTTACGTTAGCTCTATCACGATTTTGAAACAAAACATTGACAGAAGAACTTCAAGAAACTTGCAGATCCTTTTGATGAAATCTTCACGGCTGAACCTCACCACTTAGTGATCACAAAAGGAACTGCACTTTGAATGAAAGAACAGCATGCCTAGTTTACATAACTTTCTATTCACAGAAATAGAATCACACTTCATTTTATTTTTTGCCAAAAACATTCTACTCTTCCTAAAGTCTATCTCGTATTTTCCAAAACTCATTTATGACAAGTTCTGTATTAATCAATACAAAGTGAACAGTTAAAGCATAGAAATGTTTTCCCATAGGAATAAAGAGCAAAAAGGAGAAAGGGAGGGAAGGAAGTTTCAAGGCCAGAATAAGAAAGATATCCTTGACTAGAATTTGTAAAGTGTAAGCAAATATTCTTCATCCTCAACAATTTGTAGTGCTTCTTCTCAATGTTTAGCAGGTAGGGAAGAAAGATAGAATTGGTGAACATGGATCTAATGTTAGTGTTGCAATTAGAATTTATTCTGCAACACTCTTCCCTTCCCCCAAGAGAAGGGGAGGAAGTAGGGGAAAAAAGCCAACTTGATTCAGGTAAGAAAACTAACTTATTAAAAATAATGTGAGATAATACGGAATAATTAGGAAATCAAACAAAACTCCTATGAAGAAGGGTTGAGGAAACTGGGCTTGTTTAGCTTGGAGAAAAGAAGGAGGAGACCTCATTGTGGCCTTCTAATATTTGAAAGGAGCATATAAACAAGAGGGGGAACGGCTGTTTATGAGGGTAGATAGTGATAGGACAAGGGGGAATGGTTTTAAACTGAGACAGGGGAGGTTTAGGTTAGATATTAGGAGGAAGTTTTCCACGCAGAGGGTGGTGACACACTGGAACAGGTTGCCCAAGGAGGTTTGGATGCCCCATCCCTGGAGGCATTCAGGGCCAGGCTGGATGTGGCTCTGGGCAGCCTGGTCTGGTGGTTGGTGACCCTGCACATAGCAAGGGGGTTGAAACGAGATGATCATTGTGGTCCTTTTCAACCCAGGCTATTCTATGATTCTGTGATTCTGTGATGTTAAAGTTCTGAGAATTACTTTTGTACTGCCTGGTTAGTTAATTAATAGACTCAGAGGTAAATGTTTGTCCAACAGTTAATTCCTTGATTACTTTTTCTTATTTTGCTTTTAGCAGTTGTATGAATCTCTGAGTGACTTCTCAATAATGATTTTTTCTGGCAAATGTACTTCTTACTTAGTTGTCAGAAGTAGACATACTGATCATGTTGCAGATAGGGACCCCGCTATGTGGCTGAGAATATGAAGAGTTTTGATGGGTGTGTAAAATTGTTACGGAAAGAACGGGAGGATAAGAGTTCTAAAAACGTATGTTCATTATTTGTTACGGAAAGAAAGGGAGGATAAGAGTTCTAAAAACGTATGTTCATTATTTGTTATTACTAATGGTCTTGCCAATATCTGCTGCAGACCAAATTTCAATCACAAGTCAACGAAAAGAACATAAGGCAGAAAGCACCACAGACAATTTTTCGTCTTGTTTCCTCTACTGATTTTTTCTTTGTAGATCACCCTTGATTATGTTGTTATTATGACAGGTTTTAATGCCAGGAATAAGTAAATGGAAGTTTTAAAAGATAAGGGTTCTCTTTTTAGAAATGTAGTTTGCTAAGGAAGCATACATATTTCAAGCAACTCATACTGGGTGGTTTATTTACTGTCAAATAACTATAGTTATCTATCCAAGTCAGTGTTGGTGACCTTGTGACTTCTCTAAGGCCAGTGGATAAAAACAGGCATCATCAGACAGCAGTTCATCAGACTTGGCTTTGGTGTCTAGGATGGTTCAGATCACGGGGATCTGACAATGAGATGAACTTTTCTCTTGAGATGCCTCTTCCCCCCCTTTTTCCCTGTGAAAAGCAACCATATTAACTATCTCATACTAATTTTTGATGCTTGCCTTAGGGCAGATGACCCCAGTAGCCCAGCTACTCTCTACAGAGAGAATTTCCACAGCAGCCTAGTGCTGGGGAAACCAAAGGGTTTACCCCAAAGATAAGGACTGGCACCACTGGAAGGGTATTTTGTCCATCAACTGTTTAGAGAACGTGTCCCTGTGGGCCTAGCTAAAAATCCCACCAACTTCTTATTGTAGGAACAATTCATGGCCTTCAAATGAAAATAAAAATTAGTGATAGCAGTTTTGAAGTGATATCATCTTCACCAGTCACAAAAATCCTATTAGTTACCCACCAGAACTGTTTATATTTTTCTTCAAGTGCTGACAATTATATTTTCTAACTGAGATCAAAATGACATTATTTTCCCTTGACTGCACTAATGTTTTATTTATGTATTTTTATTTTTTTTTTGAAAAGCCCTCTGATATTTCAGGGGCTTATAAGTTTTGGTTTGCTTGTTTCTTTCTTAGCAAAGGTTTATTTTAATCAAATGCGAATATTAACAATTTATTAGCTGTGATCAAAAATAAACTTTTAGATCTGGAGAGCAAACACATTGCAAAGCTCTCACAGTTTAATCCTGGATTATGCATACACTCAAATACGACGAAGCTCATTTAAGTGTGAGGAGGCATGGGCCTGGGAGGGCTTGGGGTAGCACTCACTCAGCTCCCTTCCCAGACATTTGCAAATCTGGATCTGTGCTTAGGTGAGGGCTGCCCAACGGTTTGCAGACCAAAAGCCAAGAAAATGAAATGTACAAAGAGCCCCTGGCGGCAGAGCTGGGATTTTGTGGCAGACGATTCATACGGACCAGGGAGCTCTGCCACAGGTGTTTGCAGTGCTGACCCACCCCTCAGTTTATGCAGCAGATCTATGCCCTCACTTACCCCCATGGCTCCCAACAGCTTGTATCCAAAAATAGGTAACCTGGCATCAGTTGTCCCCTGTCCCTGTCACATCACCAGTTTCTCCCAGCCCTTGCTTCAGCCCCTCCATTCTATGCTATACGAACAGGTACATTAAAGAGATCAGATTTTCAGAAAGTGCTAGCACTTACAAAGCATTTCAAATAGAACATTCAAACACAAGAGCAAATAAAGTCTTTGGGTTTGGAAAAACTTGGCTTTAGTGTTTGAAAATGGATGTTTTCAGTTCTCAGATCTACTGAAACACCTGAAAACAGTATGACTATCCATGGATCCAGAGGCCTTCTGTGGGCTCGGATGTTTCCTCAGCTTGTTTTTAAAACATGTTGGAATTCTTCTTGTCCTAACTTTTTAAAAGGTTATTTAGAGAGCTTAGAGAAACCAGTTCTGAAACGTTTAGTTGTAGTTTCCTCTTAAATGAGCATAACTGGTAGTATATTATTCATAGTTGCCAACAGCAATACAGGCAAGGAAAGCAAGTGTCATTCTCCATAACTGAATTATGAATTGAAAAGCAAACTTTCAGTGATCCAAACCATAAAAATACAAGACAAGAGACTGCCACTGAAAAAAAGTAGTCTGTTAAACTGAGATGCTACTAGGTGTCATGATGACTCTCTGGGTAGCATGTCTGCCTTATAGCCAACTACTTGAGGGTTCATGTCTCATACTAGGACCTTGGCTCCCTTTCAGAGTATTGCAGAAATAAGCAGCGTGTGGCACTTTCAGAGGTGTCATTCTTCAGAGGAAATGTTAAATATACTGTCCTTCTGCCAGATCTCCAGTTGGAAATTAAAGGTCCTCCAGGTACTCTTTCAATAGAGTGAGTAATAATCTTGGGGTTCTGGCCGAGATTCCATCTCCCAGTGAAAAGAATTTGTAATGGTTGGGACATGTTTCACAAAACAGCAGAGGTCACATGAACCAATAGAAAAGACTCATTAAAAATGTTCCTCCATATGTATTTTTAACATAGAAAGTCACTTATTTGATTAAATTTCAACAGTTCTAAGCATAAATGGCCCATACAGGGATATTAAAAAATAGAAAATATATCTTCCATTACATATTGCTAGGAAACAGCTAATCCCCATGGACATCTTTGAAAAATTCAGCCTAGGTTTTTGAAAGGTCCATGAAAAATGTCTGATAGCAGAGAACTGTAACAGCATTTATTATTAAGTATAAAGATGCTGATGAGCGTGCTACTGCACTCTCAATGTACCAAGAAATGATACATTTCCAAATGTACCTTTACACTGGAGACCATTAACCTGTCAAGTTGGCATTCATAT